GAATAGTGGATGGTGATTGATAATAGAGATGAATCGTGGATGGTGATTGATAATAGAGATGAATCGTGGATGGTGATTGATAATAGAGATGAATAGTGGATGGTGATTGATAATAATGATGAATAGTAGTTAATAGTATATAATTGACGATAATTGATGATTAAAAGTCATTGTTTATGCAATAGCAAATGTATAACATTTTCGTGATAATAATTCTGTTTATGCCAGTGGTGGGAAACGGTTGAGATTTCACAATGGATCATTGAAGTTGTCTCAACTATAATCAATCATCGATTATTATCGATAATCGGGCCCATCACTAGTTTATACTGTCATCTTTGTGAATCGTTTAATCTCCGTTTTCCAGGGTGACATGTGCCGTTCTCTTGCCACGACACGACCGACCGTAAACTCTGACGACCTTAAGAAGTACGAGAAATTCACTGAAGATTTTGGACAAGAGGGATAGTAGTAGTGCATTTAGTGAATCGTGAATTCCAAAATCTTCAGTTAATCAATTGTCATTTTACGCGTATATATTGAGAGATTTTTCATTGTGCTTTAATGCACCGTGTTCCCGGATGAACACATTGAATACATCCGTATTATTTAATTGATTTTGTAGACTTGTATAGAAAAATTGGCATGAAAACTTCTGAGGTTTTACTTTTTACCATTATGTAAATCTCCTATCATAAAAATGTCTACACTTTGTGCGATTTTTGCCAACTCCCTGTCAACTCCCTGACTTCACCAACTCCAACTCCCTGCCTTCAATAATCTCAAGCATTCAAATTTTTATAAATTGTCCATGGAGATAACAATTGTATATAAAGAACACATATAAAGTCATGTAAATTCCATAGATTAAACTTCGGCAGTCGGAATATTATCTTCGGAAAGCTCCGAATGTTTCTCCTTTTGATAGATGCTATTTTGGGCATTTCCGATGAAAATGGCGACGAAAACATTGCAAAATTGACATCTTTTTCGTATTTGGTTGGAAGTACGCAGTTAAAAAGAAATTTGCTTGATGTGTCGATGAGAAATGGTTCTTACATGTCAGCTGAATGGAAAAGCTCTACATTTTGGAAAGGCTTATCCTACAGGAAGAGTCTGCTGCAGTTTAATGGCTCAACAACCACCGGTCTTTTTAAAAAATCGGGTATTTCTTTTATCAATTTTATTGTTAATCTGGTAGTAGACATTTCAACATGAGACATTTCAACAAGACTCGCTTCATAAGAAAAATAAAATGTCTCTTTACATAGTCGACAAAATATTCGAACTTTTACGTTTATTGATTTTGTAGAAGTGCAAAACTTTCTTTAGTTATGTGTTACATGTATTTAGTGTAAATGCCAAAATTTGATTAAAATGCTGATTTTTAAGACATTCGTGGCTGACATTTTAACGAGCTCCTCTTCATATCTACTACCTGATGGAGTTGTTTGTTTAAATGTAAGGAATAGCTGTTCTGAAGTTGCTGCTATTGTAGACTTGTAAAGTATATGAATTGTTTGTAAATGTAGATCGTCCTGGTTGGTATAGTCCTGAGAAGGACTGTTTTTGTTGTTGTTGACTGACGTTTCGACAACCTTAGCGGTAGTCATCTTTTGAGTCAAAATTACTAACGCTAAGGTTGTCGGAACGTCAGTCAACAACAACAAAAACAGTCCTTCTCAGGACTATACCAACCTGGACGATCTACATTTACAAACATGTAACAATACTCCCGGGTTCAAACCATTTACTTTATATGAATTGTCTTAAAAAATTTGCCTGGCGTCGGAAAAGCTGAGTTGAAATCATCGAGATGATGTTATAATTTTGACTCTTTTACTCTCTACTTCGATTTTTTGATCATGTCTCAACTGGTGTGAAGCTTTAAAACATACGTTTGACAATACATGCTAACTACATCCTTGTAGATACTTGAAAAATCACTTGCTTAATCTTACCATTTAGTCTGGCATTGTTGTATAGGTAATAGCAAATTTTAAAGGATTTTTCCATCTTAAAGTTATTCAGATTAAAAGTTAACTTCTCAAAATTATCTTCATATGATACAATTGTCTTTTCAGTACGATGGATGTTCATTCAAGTGCAAGAGACGCCTAACCCTAACAGTTTGAAGTTTTTACCAGGCGTTGAAGTTATTTCATCTGGCACAGTGAACTTTGAAGATTCAAAGTCAGCAATGAGTTCACCATTAGCAAGGTATTATTACTGTTCTTGACCATGATTTTGCCTATGTGTGATTTACAAGACTTTTGTTCTTTATAACTTGTCAGTGGAAACTTTATTTTCAAAACCCCTTTATGCCTAGCTTAAGCAAACTTATTGATGTCAGTTAATTTGCACTCCAAGATATTGGTGAATCTACAAGCCGCAATGCATTGATCTGCTTTTTACACAATATGTTTGCCAAAGTTCTTTGTACAAAATAAAACAAATTCCGAAGAGGGACATCTTGTTTTCTTGACTTATGAGTCTGATGATGTCTTTGGAATAAAGAAAAATATTGCACCATCTTTTGTTTCAAACTCTTGTAATATCTTGAATATCAAGAAAACGAGATGTCCCTCTTCGGAATTTGTTTTATTTTGTATTATTTGAAATTGTCTGCTTGCCCTGGTTAAAGTTCTTTGTATGATTGTGATATTGATTTCTTGAGATAAAATGGTTTTTATAATGGTTACAATGCCACTTTCTCTATGTATAAATGCATATTTCCTCGCTAAGGTAAAGGAATTTTGTGTTTATTTGTAACTTATACAAACATCATTTATGATAGTCTACGTCATAAACCCTTGCTTGTCAGGCAGTATAATTTTGATAGCAGCTCAGACAAATGTGACGTATGCGGAAAGAAACTTTGATATTGCATATACCCTTACATGAAGTATTGGCTTGTGATGTAGGCTACATTTCTGGTTTTTATTTTATTACATCTTTCATTGCCAGCCGTGAAATTGTTTGTAATCTTTACCAATCTTTTTACAAACAATCTGATTAATATATTAATTGATATATTTTGTATTTTTATTCTGTAATATTTTGACGTTTTATAGACAACTGTTTGCAATAGAAGGAGTTACCGGAGTCATGTTTGGTCGTGACTTTATTACCATAACAAAGGTAAACATTACATAACCACCTTGTTATTTTAGGTTAATCATCTGCATTTTTATTCCACAAAACCAATCTGAACTCAATTGATGGTAGTTTTTGCCTTTGAAAATGCAACATTGTATTATGATTGGCAAGGAGTTTTTCTATGTGTATCGAATGTTACATCACAATATGGGAGATATGACTGTTATACATGCTGTTATGTCACATTCATTCCCCACTGTTAGACAGTGTTAAAGAAATAAAGTTATTTTCAATAAACCCCCATTCTTTTAAAAACAATGCAACATGTCAAATTTCAGTTTTCACAGATCATGAAAAATTATTGAGTCTCATGTTTTGATTTCATCACTTTGTAATCTGTTTGACTGTTCTGTTTCATCTTTATAATTTGATTCGACGAGATATTTTTGTATTATTTTAAGTCAAGCGATGATGGTGTGAACTGGGCACCAATAAAGCCCAACATTTATGCGACAGTGATGGATTTCTTTGCCAGTAATCTTCCAATATTTACGGATGAACAACCAAGTTCTGACACAGGTTAGTTGGTTTGTTTCAGGGCTTTCACTTGACATGTTCCTGACATCTTTTCTGCTATCACTGGTTGTTTTCTTGGTAATTTTTTGAAATTTCTTCTGCACATTTTACTGTCATCTTCCTGGATTTCGTTTCTATCATCTCATATTATCCTTTATCTTTCCATCATGTTCCTGGATTTCGTTTCTATCATCTCATATTATCCTTTATCTTTCCGTCATGTTCCTGGGTAACCTTTCTATCATCTCATTTTATCATTTATCTTTCCATCATGTTCCTGGGTAACCTTTCTATCATCTCATTTTATCATTTATCTTTCTGTCATGTTCCTGGGTAACCTTTCTATCATCTCATATCATTTTCTTTAGAAATCCTCGAAGACGATGACGAGACTGTCGCTATGATCAAGGAATTAATCGAAACAAGAATAAGGTGAAAGATGTTTGTCATTTCAACGATTATTTGTATATTCAGAAATCCACTTTGTAAGAAGGCCCTTAAAACTAATAATTTACTTTGCAACAAGACTTTTGAGATAAGAGTTTAAATTCGTTTGAATTTGTTTTCTGATAAATTACTTTGATTCTAGTATTTATATTTTTAAAACATTGAAAATTCGTTGCACTATTTTTTACCTACACGCTTTATATGAGATCGGTTTTATTTGAAACTAGCATGACGTCATATGACGTCATATGACGTTATGACGTCAACCTAAATAGTGAAGCGTGTTACGGGATAAGGAATATACGTTGTTATGGTATAATACAGTTTTTACTAAAACAAAAGCTGCAAATCTCCGCATTGTCACTTTTCTTATAGTGAACTTTTGTTAAATAATACAATAAAGACTTAGTCCTGGTGGCAAATTAAAAAATCGTTTTAATAAGAGCAAATATCTTGGCGAATGTGCTAAATATTAACGTAATGTCTCTTAAAATAACTGTTTAAGACCAGAACACTAATCCAACAATTCTAAAAGAACTGTTTTTAAAGATAAAAGACACTATTCATTTCAACAGGCTACTCATCTCGTTTAGCAGACTGCTGAAATGCACAGTGTTTTATAGCTTTAAAAACAGTTCTTTGGAGTTCTTTAAAAAAAATGGTTTAGTGTTCTGGTTTTAAACAGTTCAGTAAGAACTACTACGTTATTATTTTCACCATTCACCATGGTCTTTGCTCTTTTTAAACAATTTTTAAACTTATGTCGATGAAGTAACACATATATCGTCTATTTAGACCAACATTACAAGAAGATGGTGGTGATATAACATACAAAGTAAGTTCTATACGTTTATTGAATGATTAATCTCAAAGTAGCTGTGAATGATTTCATAACGTGTTCTATAGTGATTTTATACAATGGAAGGTTTACTGACTGGAAAGTTTTTTCAACCAAGCATAGTTTTTTTTAAAGTAAATGGTTTGAACCCGGGAGTATCGTTACATGTTTGTAGATGTAGATCGTCCAGGTTGGTATAGTCCTGAGAAGGACTGTTTTTGTTGTTGTTGACTGACGTTTCGACAACCTTAGCGGTAGTCATCTTCAGAGTCAAAATGATTACCGCTAAGGTTGTCGAAACGTCAGTCAACAACAACAAAAACAGTCCTTCTCAGAACTATGCCAACCTGGACGATCTACATTTACAAACATATAGTTTTTTTGTTGTTTTTTGCGGCTGATGTCTGATGTATTTTGCTTTTGAAAATTAAGTATTTTATTCATTTATCTTCGTGTAGGGGTTTGAAAATGGTGTTGTTAAATTGAAAATGCAGGTAATTGGAGCTTTTCTCCTTAGGTTTGCTTGAACTTTCTGAATGCCTACCGCAAAGGTTTTCAAAACTTCAGTAAACATCAACACCAACAGTTCACTTGACATTTTTATATATGTTTGTAGATGTAGGTCGTCTGAGTTTGTAGAGTCCAGAGAAAGACTATTCGTGTTGACTTTTCAACAACTTTTGCGGTCGTTTTCATAGTCAAGTGAGGATTAAATGTCAGGTTCGTCGTGTTTTTCGTCTGGTTCATACCTCATCGTTTATATTGTGTGTAGAGGAAATGTTTGACATTTACTCCTCACATGACACTGAATATGACTACCTCTAAGGTTATTGAAACGTCAGTCAACAGTCCTTCTCAGGACTCTGTTGACCTGGACGATCTACATCTAAAAACATAAAACAACACTCCTGGGCTCAAACCATTCGCTTCATGAAACGCATTTTTTGATATGCTTTAGGGCGCGTGTTCAACTTGTCCCAGTTCTATTGTAACTTTGAAAAATGGAATTGAAAATATGCTTCAATTCTATGTTCCCGAAGTGGAATCTGTTGAACAGGTTTGCCGATTTTCATAGATAAATGACACTGCATGACGTATTTCCGGTAACGTTTCAACAAGTTTTTCAAAACATAGGATTTATCATTTTAATATTTACATTTCAGTGATTAAATCATCATTTTAACTTTTAACTTAAATGGTGTTTATCAGGTTGAGGATGAAGTGGACGCAATCAACAAAAAAGAATTTTCTAAATTTGAAGAGACACTAGAAGGAACTTGAAATTTCTGTTTGAAAAACTTCAAGATGTCTAAAATGTGTGTATTATATTATTCAGCTAAGATATTTGTAATGGGAAAAATTGTAACTAATTTAGAACAGATTGTGTTGTCCTTTTCTTTCTAAATGTGAATATGATTTTGGCAAATTTTTCCGATATTCAGCAAATCTACAAGTTGATTTGGTTTTTCTGGTTCTTCTGGAGAACAGTCGGAAACAATGTCCCCTATCGTTCTTCGCATTCCTGTCTTCTGTACTTAACCCAATATAATTTACCAACATGACATTGGTGCTATCAAACTGCAGGCTCATATTGTTTATTTTCTTCATCGTTAAAAAAGTGCACTTATTTATCTTAAAATTATGATTTTTCGTTCTTGTGTTGCTTTTGAAAGGCGGAAACGAACGTGCAACAGAGAATGTTTTACTTTTTATAACAAATGTGTGCGTTTTTCATTTATTCTTTGTCGTAAATATTCTGGTATGAAACTACGGTCTTTTCCATTTATACGTCGAAGGGACAATTTTGAGGTGAAGAAGAACATGAATTTGTCGGCTTTCAGGCTGCCCGGTATGTGCTTTCGTCAATATAAGTCATTAAAATGAATTTGGTTTTGTTAGATTCAATTGTAATGTTGTTTGCCTTCATGTGTTGTTGCACATGTGACTGACCACCAACTTTGACGAAATAGAAATTGTGAAGGCTGAAATGGTTATAGATGGGTGAACAGTTTTTTTGGGGGGTGAAATCTGATGTTTTGAGGTGGCACCACCCCTGCACATACACTGCCAGTAAATCCATCTTTGACCAACGGGATACAGGATATTACTGTATATATTTGATCATTTGCATTTTTGTTTTAATTTATCTTGACAGTGGGAGAAAATTTACAGTTTAGCTATGCATATTTTTCTAGTAAAGTAATTTTTTGCCAAGAGCTTAATCTAATTAATCCCTCAATCCTCTACAGTCCATAATATCCATTTATGTGTCTCAGTCAGTTATATTTAGATGTTAATTAACACAACCATAGTTTGTTTTAAATAATGAATGTGCAAGGAAATGATATGTTGAATCCTTCTAAACCATTGGACATGCACATAACTTAGTTAACATTCTATATTTTCAACTTTTATGTAAAATATACAGTACATTTTAGTTATGAACTTTATATATTTCAGGAATGTATTTCTCCAAGTATGTCAGCCCAAATAAGAATACTATCTATTTTGATACCCACCTTATGGTAACTGATCTACAAAAATGTGGTATGTTGAATAAATAGGAAATTTGGTGGTTTGAATAAAATGTTACCTTGAGGTTAATGACAGTCTTGTTGTGCAAACAGTTTGTTTATTGTATGTTCTTAAGGATTTTCTTTGGAACAGTCAGAGGTCATTACTTCTGCCATCACAGAAATTGTAAACTCTTCGATAGCTCATGTTAAAGATGACTCAGTTGCGCGGGTGGAGCAGGTAACAAAATGCCCCTTCTGTTTTGAAATGAAGTGTGCTTTGCTTGCTAAAACGTGGTTCTTTTTAACCAGGAGCAACTTGAAGTGCGTTTGAAATCCTTGATAGAAAAAGTAAGGTATGTGTCACTTGTTACCAAGAGATGTTTAACATTAACAAATTTTATGTTCAGAACACATTTCTATAAACTTGTCAAAATAATCCTTATTTTAATATGTTGAAAAATTCTTACTAATGACCTGGGTATGGTCAACTTTTTTTGCACATGATAAAAATAGGTACGCTTGCGCATGTTGATAACCAATTTTACCATAGTGTTTTCTGGTTGCATTGTAAAACCAATTTAAAATGACTTTATAACTTCTTTAAAAGAATTGTGTTGTTTTATTTCTTTTTAGAGATATGTAACTTTTCTTCAATGTGCAAATGACCTCGTTATGACATAAGATTGCATAATTTGTTTTATGAAAAACTAGTTTATGTCGAAAGTTAGCATTAAAATATCTAACTTTGCCATCTTTCAAAATATTCATCTGCACGTGTATTCATTAAACTCGTGACGATATTAAAAAGGTCGTTACGCTCTGTGAAGTCATAACGATATCATTTTCATTAACAAAAAAGTCAAATATCGCCAGAAAAAAGTGCAAGAAGTCAATTCTACTGAAGAAGTTATAAAGTCAATTTATGTGTTCTATCCAAATACAATCAAACGAATTCGTTATAAAATCTCGTATCATAAGCATTTTAACGGTTTGCACAAACATTTTTAACGTATGGTGACTCATCATCACAAAAACATTTTATGAAAGAATGTTCTATGCAGTGCGGTGTTTGAAATTATATGTAGATATGATCTTCGCACTTTGTTGGACAATTTATGCAATTGTCTCATGAACCTGAAACGGGATTCGAACCCATGACGTCTGCGGTGCCGGTGCAGTGCTCTGACCAACTGAGCTATGAAGTCACACAGTGGTGAGCAGGTCAATTTTGTTGGGCTCATGTTTTCTCGTGAAAGGAATGTCATTCGAAAGAATGTTCCCTGTCACCTGAATTTTTCAGGTTCATGAGACAATTGCTTAAATTGTCCAACAAAGTGCGAAGATCATATCTACATATAAAACATTTTATACTGTGAACATTAACAGTTAAACAGCAAGAATTTCACATGCGTACATGATTTCCTGGAATTTTCTTCCCATCAGTAGTTCATCAAACCTGTAAGTGATGGAAAACACTGATAAAAATGTACTCACCCCATAAAACACCTTTGAACGCGTATATAGATCGACAGACGAATGCCATGTTTTTGGAAAATGTTTTTTTTCAATCAGGAATGATATGATAATTTTAGAGAAGACAGAATTTGTAAGAATGAGAGACGAAAATCAGGTGAAGAATATGTCGTTGTGGTAGATTGAAGCACGAAATTCTTTTCATGGAATTGTTATTTTCTTCGTACGTAGAAATTAAAAAGCGATGTTGCTGCCCTTAAGACAATGCTACAGGTTGGTAATTCACTCAAAATCTTTAATGTATTTTTTTCCGTCAACCGAGAGAAAGAAAATGTCGAAAAATGTTTCGTCTTGCATTCGTTGGGAGTCCGATTGTGAATTTCTTTGGCGATGGTTTTGGTTATATTAAGCACATCTTATTCCAAACGCGCAGTTTGGATGTAATTAAGTATTCATGATTGTTAAGCTAGGATACTCTAAGTTGCGAGGTCTTTTTTCGAAATTTAATGGTAGTTTGAACCCGGGAGTATCGTTACATGTTTGTGGGTGTAGATCGTCCAGATTAGTAGCGTCAGAGAAGGACTGTTTTTGTTGATGACTGACGTTTTGACTCTGAAGATGACTACCGCTAAGGTTGTCAATGCGTCAGTCAACAACAACAAAAACAGTCCTTCTCAAGACTATACTAACCTGGACGATCTACATCCTTGAACAAGTACTAGCTGTTTAAGTTTGACGAGTAGCAAATATGAAGCTTGCAACTCTCAATTGTGTGTGATAATATGAGTTCCTGAGTTGAAGTGTTCGTTTTCAAGTTCGTGTTTTCAAGAGGGAGGTTTAGCGTAGCCAGTCTGCAAATTTACATGTTTGTAAATGTAGATCGTCCAGGTTGGTATAGTCCTGAGAAGGACTGTTTTTGTTGTTGTTGACTATATTTTTCACTCTGAAGATGACTACCGCTAAGGTTGTCGAAACGTCAGTGAACAACAACAAAAACAGTCATTCTCAGGACTATACCAACCTGGACGATCTACATTTACAAACATGTAACGATACTCCCAGGTTCAAACCATTTACTTTATTATTCTGCAAATTTGTTCATACTGTGTACGTTTTTGACATTATCATTATTCATTTCATTAGAAATTTATTGTTTTTACAGAGAATGAACACAAAATTATTTACCTAGTGCGACGAAACTTGTGAGTTGGCTTCGTCACCGTTATCAAGTCGTGATAACTTTTTTTTTGGTTGAATGATTTTGCAAACTTTTCAATTAGCACATGAACTTTTTAACGAACTTTTAATCTTTACCACTTTTGCGACGTTAGGTAAAGTAACGATGATTGTGTTGAACAACTGATAGAGATAAATACGTTCTAGAAAAATTTGAAAAGATTGGAAGTGTGTATAATTGTGTGTGTTAAATTGGCGTTGGGTATTTAATGTTCCGTGTAGATAAATATTTTTTAAGTTGAAAATAATGTTGAAGACGCAAAAAATGTTAATTTTACTATTTGCTGTTTGGGGAATCACTAAATAGCAACGAGATTCATAAATGCCTTTCTGACTTTCAAACTAGGACGAAGTTTTAAAGTTGAAGTCGAGTCAAGCTTTGGATACGAGCTTAGAAAGAAGTCGGGTTAAAGAAGAGGTACACTACTCGTTCTAAATTGATCGTTGAAACGAAAGAAAGTGTGTTATCATAAAGATAACGTATAGTGGATTGTACTCTCTGTTTTGCCGTTATATAGTTTCAATTCCGTGATCAGAAAATTAAGGACAACAATAATCGAATAGACACTGAAGTAAGTCAATGAGTATTTTGACCCTCCCCCCCACACACACACACTACCACTCCCTTCGCACTGCATGATATTTACGTCACTATTCGCCAATGATAGAGCCCAGTCCTCTAGATGTGTAACTGCCGTGTGAAGGTGAGGCAAGGACGCCATCTTGCAAGGTGGCCGAAAGACATGGCTTAGCCAGTAAAACGAATTTTGAATGTTATTTTCTGTATGTTTTAGGTTGCACGTGTTGAAACTAAAATTGAAGCACAGAAATTAGACCTTCTAAAGTATTTCGTAGGTAATATCACAATTGTGGAGTTGTTTTTTTTTACCCTTCGGGTGTTTTGAGTCGTGAAAACTCGTAATATAAGCAAATTAAAATGGTGAAGAATATTTTGAATTAAGACAAAAGATGTTTACTATGTTTTCTCAGGGTTCTGCAAACCTAGGAGACCTTTCCATGAACACGAAAAATATCTTTTCTTTCTCAAATATAATAAAAATGTGAAACAGATAAATGTAAAACAAGTTTCTTAATTCTTCTTCTAACGTGTATTCATGATTGATTTTCAAATTTTCTTTGATTAATTTAATTTATTGAGCTCAGCGCAAGTGATACCCAGTGCAAGTATTTTATAATCATTGTGTTAAAATGTTGAGCAAATAATTATGATATCATGTAAGATCTGAGATCGGCATGTAATATATCAAAAAGATGGCAATGATCGCCTTTAAAGAACACCTTGAATTGACAATTTTTGTCATTTTTTAGGTAGCGTTTTGTCATTCACAACTATATCACTTGCTGTTTGGCGATTTTTTAAACTGTAAGTTGAAAAAATATGCATTTATGCAATAAATAAATATATCATAATTTGATAAGTACGATTCTCCTTCCATATGCTGTATTATCCATTAATGAACGCTTTATCCCTCATCCTCCACCGACGAACAACATCGCGTTCCACTTGACCATAAAACATTAGAGTTCAGTGAGGATTTTACCAGAATTCATATGACAAAATATCTTTGTTGAAATGTTGAGAGAAATGTCTTTGTTTCGTTCACGCTTCGCGTGAAAATGTTGTGCTAAATATATGCCGTTTGCCTTGGCTTTCTTGGAAAGTTATTTACTAAAAAGTTAAAGATAGTGGCGTCCTAAAATGGCGAGTAGTTTGTTAAAAGAAATGGTGAAAAAAGAATGCTTAAATCAGAGTCAAACTGACACCGATGGCTCTTCTGTTGTGGCTCAAAGCACTGGGCAAGTGCCTAAGCGTGTCGATGCTTCAGGTATGTTTTTGTACTTGAAATTATTCGTTATAATTTACTGCCGACTCGTTTTTCTCTCTGTCTTGTTGTTTTCTATCAATCATTATTTTGTCGAGTTATGAAGAAGCTAATTTCTCTTTCCTTCGGCACTTAGAAATTCAAAGTTCTGTCGGTCGCATACAATAATTTCGATTGATTTTCAAGTTAAAAGTGCTTTCGGTGAAGAAGGAACTTATGATCCATAAAATCCCGGTTTTTGAATGGCTTGTAATTTTTGGTAAACTATAGAAATCTTTGAACACCTGTCAAACATTAACTCGTTTTATACAAAATGAAAGCGTGCAATATTTCCGTTTGTGGTTTGAGACTGAATGCTGTTAGTGAGTCAATACACGAAAATCGTTGTATTTGCTCATATTTTCTACAACAAATTGAAATCTTTTATTGGCAAATAAATATATTTAGTCTTGCAAGTAAACACAAATAGAAACATACAGTTGACTCGGTTTTATATCAAAGTTCGATGTCATGGCAAAGTGCTTAATGTGCTGTATTATTGAAACGTGAACTGTAATTTACTGTGTTTTATGATATTTTAGATTTTTTAATGATCAACCAGTTACTGCAGATTATTAAAACAATTTAAACGGTTATATAAAAGGGTGATGTGCTATTTTACTTTCAGGTGCTGAAGTGAGCATTGCTCAAACAAACATATTCAACTATGATTTTGTACCAAGTACAAAGAGGTCAAACCAAATAATGAAACCAATGGAAGCCCGCTCTCCTTTAGTAGAAACTCAGCTTCAACTCTCCCAAAATCAACCGACCGTCCCTCATTCTTCAATAAGTCCAAGTATGAACTCATTGAGTAAAGACTACCTTGTTCCCCAATGTTTACAACATCAAATGTTTGCAGCACAAGGATATAATGCAACTGGTCAAGTATTTTCTACACCAATGATTCCTCCAGTGTTAGTTCAAGCACCAATTACTGGTCCAACGTCGATACCAGGCGTATTTCAGCCTGGTTTTATGTATCAAACATTCAATGAACAAAAGGCATATCAAGGAAAGTCACATTATTTTGCACCTTTTACCAAAGGCTCATTGATAGTATTATCTAATGGTGGGGTGAAACCAATAGAGGATTTAAAGACTACAGATTTTATCGAAAGTGCCAAAGTTTCGAAACAATTTTATTTAGAGACTTGTAAGATTGCTAAAATTCAAGAAACACCGAATAGTTCCATTATGTGGATTGCATTTGCTGTGGAAAACATAGAAAAAGAGGTAAATGTTTTTATTGTTGATATTTTATAACATTAAGGAGTCCTTGGCTCAATGCTGTGCACCATAGCTAGAGTTTTGATGTGTTTTACTGGAGCCAGAGTTGAACTGAAAACAAGAGCTCTGGTAGTGAGATTTTCATAAACATCTAACTAAATAAGTTTTCAAATTCATACAAAAACTAAAATAAACATACAAACACAGAAAGAGAGAAAATATGTATGACATATAACATAATGCTTTATAAAGTGAATGTTTCAACCTGGGTATGAAGATTGTCCAAAAGTGACATTTTTGACAATAAAGTTGTTTTGAGGCAAACTGCTGTCTCTCATCATAGTAAAAATCCTTCAACATTTCCTTCATTGAAACAAAAGTTGTATACCAGGCTGTTACTAGACCAGTCAATATTAATACTGGCACAAGGTCAAATGGCTGAAATAGACATCTCCTGCAATATCTTCTTTGTCATGACCTTGATCATTGCGTCAAAGCAAGTTTTTTTCTCTTTTGAGGACTATGAACAGTGACTGAAAAACAGCATTCCCATTCAAATTTCATGAATCTTCAGGCATATAATCTTTTTACCATAGGTAAACTTGTTTCAATAAGAGGCAAAGCTTTTTGGCAGAAGCCAGGGGGGTTTGGCGGAAACTAGAATTTTTTTGGCCAGAGACAGAATTCTTTTAGCCAGAGCCAGAGGTGAAACCCCTGAAGCTTGCACAGTTTCAACCTTGGCTGGGAGACAGAAAACATTTTGTTTTGCAATGTTTTTTTCTACCTTAATACTCATTTAATTTGCTTTGAAAATAACTATACTTTCTTGAAACAAAGTTGTTTCTTGAGAAATTATGAAAAACTTCCTGTTTCGTAAATTAGTATTGCTGTTTGTGAACAACATCGGAAACATTGCTTGCCCATTTTCTGGGTGTAAGTGCTAAGAATCTGTATTAATTTGTTTATCTATTGTTAAGTGTTTCACCTTGAGAGCAGATTGAAATGCAAAGCAGTTCCTCTCTATTCATCTATCTTATTCTTAAGTCCAAATTTTTAAACAAAGTCAACTCTTTACAAAATAGGTGTTGGTTGAGAAGCCTTCAGACCATCCCTTCTATGTTTATGACCAAGGTTGGGCATCATGCCAACCTGAAGCAACTTTCGCGCAATATGGTTTACAATGCCAAAAACTGAGGGTTGGCGATGTTTGCGTGTTCCTGTCCAATCGACATGATAATGAAAAGACAGAGTCAAATTTCACAAATATCGAAACAAAATCTTCAGTTGGTGATGAAGCAAACAATGGTTTATCAAACTCTGTTTTTCCTTCCTCAATAAATGGAAAAGAGTATGGAACGGAACAAAATTCAGCTAAAAGATCTCTGGACATGTCTGCAGCGACTGGTGGTGGTGTTTTTAAAGCTACTCAATTCGAAGATCAGCAAAACACTGATAACGAACTCTCCAGTCCACAGTCAAGGGGGAAAAAAGCTAAAATTGATGTCGTCGCTTCGTAAATGCTACACAAGATATTCTATGTAACTTTCTGAAGGGAAATCTAATGGAAGTTTGCACTTAAAAGGATCAACTCTGCATTGTCTGTTTCGACGTGTTGGGCACTGATTAACAGGATTTTGCTTCATCTTTGTTTATCAACAGAAGAGACCAATTTATTTGGATTTTAGCCTGCCTTAATGCTTCTTATTTGATGAGAAGAGCCACGAATAAAAACAAACATTAGACAAGAAAAGTTTTCAAAGTGAATGGTTAGAACTCTGGAGTAGTAATACATGTTTGTAGATGTAGATCATCCAGGTTGGTATAGTCCTGAGAAAGACTGCTGTTGTAGACTGATGTTTCGACAACATTACCGGAGTCATCTTCAGAGTCAAATGAGAAGCAAACGTGAAACATTTCCTCTACATACACTACGATGACTTATGAACCAGATAACAAATACGACGAACCTGACACTTATTCCTCGCTTAACTCTGAAGATAACTACCGCTAAGGTTGTCGAAATGTCAGTCAACATCAACACCAACAGTCCTTCTGGATTCTATTAAACTGGACGATCTACATCTACTAACACGTTAAAGTTTGTCCAACGAAAACGTTATTGAATGAATGCGTCAACAAAATAAAACTCTAAGGTGAATAAATGGTCTTTCCTGCATGGTTGTACCCAACATTAAACACAAGTTGATCCCTCAAACACCCCTTTTCCACCCTTTTCGAAACGAACTCGCGTATCCATACACGAACATCAAGATACCTAGAGTTATGAAATATGATAGCTATTAGTTGTAATCATTTTATATTTTTATTATGTTCACTAATTTTTGTTTGTAAATTGTGCAACAAGTGGCGTTCACGTATGGCCATATATTAAAACTGTAAATACAAGTAGCGAGGTATCGTGTAGGTTAATGTAAAAGAAAAAAAACTTAAATTATTTTCGAACTATAAATTGCGTTTTGCTTCCTCTATTCTCTCGGCTCCATAAACTTTTCAAATCATTTTTTGCTCCATATTGGTCTGATTTTTTCACCCTAAATTGCTCAAACAACCTACCAATAATGCGAAAATTTAATTATATCGTCGTTAATCACATCTCAAAGTCACTAGAAGTTTCTGAAAAATATCTTGTACTTAATTCGATCACGAACATCATGTAATTTTATATTCATACATTAGACAAGTCTCCTTAAATTTCAAATATATTTTATAACCAACAAACACGCTGGATGATACGAACAGCGCACGCCATAGATATCTTCATGAAAATTCTACAATATATCTTGATATTTGCTGCTATGCAAATACATTATTCAGTTGTTGCGACACTCTTATAAATGTTGTTCTTCTACTTAACTCCTTCAATCTTGATGCACCGACATAAGTACAGGCAGATCTCAATCCACCCAACATATCCAAGACAGTGTCCTTTATGTCACCTCGATAAGGAACTTCTACCGTTTTTCCTTCGGAAGACCTGTGGTGTATATATGACAAGGTGATAAGAATGCTGTGTGGGCTCAGACTACGCTTTGGATTGTTCTTAATTTAACGGTCAGCAGTTATACATCTTACGTTTGATTGTATACACTTAGGGATGTATAAAAATCTAGAATTCTTCGTTATCTTTGGTTTTCATCATCACAATTTACGTATGGACGTCAGCGTTTTTCAAATGTTAATGATTTGTTTCACGTGTAGTAATTTTCATCCTTTAAGCTCCACTCAATCATTACCTGTACTCGGCAATCATTACCTGTACTCGGCAATCATTACCTGTACTCGGCAATCATTACCTGTACTCGGCAATCATTACCTGTACTCGGCAATCATTACCTGTACTCGGCAATCATTACCTGTACTCGGCAATCATTACCTGTACTCGGCAATCATTACCTGTACTCGGCAATCATTACCTGTACTCGGCAATCATTACCTGTACTCGGCAATCATTACCTGTACTCGGCAATCATTACCTGTACTCGGCAATCATTACCTGTACTCGGCAATCATTACCTGTACTCGGCAATCATTACCTGTACTCGGCCATCATTACCTGTACTCCGCAATCATTACCTGTACTCGGCAATCATTACCTGTACTCGGCAATCATTACCTGTACTCGGCAATCATTACCTGTACTCGGCAATCATTACCTGTACTCGGCAATCATTACCTGTACTCGGCAATCATTACCTGTACTCGGCAATCATTACCTGTACTCGGCAATCATTACCTGTACTCGGCAATCATTACCTGTACTCGGCAATCATTACCTGTACTCGGCAATCATTACCTGTACTCGGCCATCATTACCTGTACACGGCAATCATTACCTGTACTCGGCAATCATTACCTGTACTCGGCAATCATTACCTGTACTCGGCAATCATTACCTGTACTCGGCAATCATTACCTGTACTCGGCAATCATTACCTGTACTCGGCAATCATTACCTGTACTCGGCAATCATTACCTGTACTCGGCCATCATTACCTGTACTCCGCAATCATTACCTGTACTCCGCAATCATTACCTGAACTCGGCAATCATTACCTGTACTCGGCAATCATTACCTGTACTCGGCAATCATTACCTGTACTCGGCAATCATTACCTGTACTCGGCAATCATTACCTGTACTCGGCAAATCATTACCTGTACTCGGCAATCATTACCTGTACTCGGCCATCATTACCTGTGCTCGGCAATCATTACCTGTACACGGCAATCATTACCTGTACTCGGCAATCATTACCTGCACTCGGCAATCATTACCTGTACTCGGCAATCATTACCTGTACTCGGCAATCATTACCTGTACTCGGCAATCGTTACCTGTACTCGGTAATCATTACCTGTACTCGGCAATCATTACCTGTACTCGGCAATCCCTCCTGCATGTTTTTGCATCGCTGTTGAAGAACTCATCCCGTAGAAAATTTTGTACTTCTTTCCACCTCGCTCGATCAAGTCTCCGCCTAAACGACAACAGTACAACCACGGTCTCAAACGTTTTCCCAAGTTTATCTAAATCATAATGACCAAGTGACGTACAACCAACAATATATTACATATTTGTAGGTAGTAGTACAATGTTATAGCAAAATAGTAAATATCTTTAAACACCTGACTGGTCGTGTCCAGCAAACATGCCGCCCAACATGACAAAGTCAGCTCCAGCACCTAAATATATTTAAATTAAAATTCATCTTAAATCTTTGACATCTGAACAAATAAAATTACTTTGACTTAAAGTAAATGGTTTGAACCAGAGAGTATCGTTACATATTTGTTGTAGATTTAGAACGTCCAGGTTAGTAGAGTCCCGAGTAGGATAGTAATGTTTACTGACGTTTTAACAACCTTGGTGTTAGTAGTAATCTTCAGAGTCATACGAGGATTAAATGTCAAGTTCGTACTATTTTTGTCTAGTTCATATGTCAGATATTGTATGTACAAAATGCTTATTTTTTCGTTAGTTTGAGATTGTGAATAAGTCGTTTGTAAGTATGAGTAAATGTTCAATGGGTATTGTTCTAAATTGGTATATAAACTTTCTAACGTAAGAAGTCAATAGTCGGTGCTGTAAGTAATGCATTATACCTATAGTCTCGGTCAATGTTGTGTCAGTTAACATAAAGACAAACAGTCCTTCTCAGGACTAAACTGGAGGATCTACCTTACATCCACAAACATTTATAATTAATTTGTAAAAACATACCAAACATCGTATTAGATAAATTCTAATAAAAATATCTGACGTTTTTACCCTGAGAGGTATAAAGTAAGTTTTTAACAAAAAGTAGTAGTTTCCATGCCCATCGCTACATCCCGATAATTATACAGAAATCAGTGTTGTGAAATTATGTACCGAATGCCTTCGCAATATCGCCGGGACAAGTACATCCACCGTCCTAAAAACGGATGTCAGAACAAGACTTATATTTTCTAACGACAAAATCTGCTTTAAAATGAACAAAATTTGCCAAATTATGGCTTTGTTATACCGAGATAACGTGACCTTTAAGCCCATGTGCGGCGTCGGCCGATTCTAGAACCGCGCTGACTTGAGGGTAACCAACACCTGTCTGCTTTCTTGTCGTACAAACCGAACCTTGGTTAGATAGATAAATCAGGTTGAAAACTAGACTTATTGAAAGTTCAACTAACCATAGAAGCAAAAGGAAGTAATTCCTCAAGTATATATAATATATGTAAATCTACCTGGTCCAATACCAATCTTTATAATGTCAGCGCCATTAAGTATAAGTTGTTCTACCATCTCGCCAGTCACAACATTACCGGCCTGTAAAAATATTCAATTGACAAGTTTTGAAGCCGATAAAGAGCCCTGTGAAATCATTCAGATAGCTTTAGGCTGGGTTTGTTATAAAATATACATTTTTCTCTCTCTCTCTCTCTTATTTATAAAAGGACCGCATCTTTTGCGTTTTGGGCATTTTTAGTCCTGTAGGAATGGCGATATTGCTTTTTTGGCTTCTCTTCTGTATTTTTTGAGTGATGCTATAGTCTGAAGTGCTCTTCCAAACTTGAAAACTATTTCTCTTGAATGATGTTTAAACAGTAAACTCTAAACTATACATGATACTTGCACTGTTCTGATTTTTGGCCGCTGTCCTGTTATGGTGAGTTAAACCATTGAAGGGTTAACGTCATTGTTTCATCCGTCATTTTTCGTGAGAGAAAATTTTTCTCTCGAAGTCAAAAAAAACCTGCACATTTCTTAATCTACACTGAAGAATGTTAAATACTAAATCCATCTTTCAAGGCAACGCAAATTAGCAGTGAAGACCTGCGCTTGACAGACATCGCAAGTGAAAAGGAGAGGGGTAATCGAAACGTTATTATTTCTTGTTTGTTGAGAGCAATACACATGTATTAGAGATTAGTTTGGAATATTGTTCAAATATTCAAGGCTGAAGCATCAACTCACAATGATTATATGTTCTGGAAACTTGGCGCGAATTTCTTTGACAAACTCTACGAATCGTTCTGAGTATCCATTTGCAACGTCAAGACAAATAGCTCGAATTTCGGAAAGGTTATTTAAAATGGTGGTGACTTTTTCTACATCTTTATTCATCATTCCACAACTTGCAATAACATACTAAAGTATATAAATGATTTGTCATGACCATAAGTCATAGTGTTGAAATGCAGGTAAATAAGTTCAATAAAGAGATACAAGTGTAGTTAGTATAAATTATTTAGCTCATACCGGTAAGATATCAGGATTTTCTGCAGCAAAACTCTTCCATTCTTCGAGGGTGTAATGCTTGTGTATGGCTGTCAACATCTTGTGCTTGTTGAAGTAATTAAAATAAAATCATAGAAATTTGTGTAAACTATTATTAATTAATGTTATGCTAAACATCTGCAATTATGTTGGGGGGTAAATGGATATGAAAATGGTGGTCAAGTCTACCTTGGCAACTTCTTTTGCCATTGTGAATGTGCCTGTTGTGTCCATATTTGAAACTATGATTGGTATCACATCTTCAGGAAAGGATTTTTTTGAATGTCGATGAACAACATGCCAAGAAAGGTCAACCTAATAATTATTTTGATGAATTTACAATGTAATATTTGTAAAGGAATTGAGATTAACATGAGAGCACTCCTTCAGTAAAGCAATTTTGGTTATGCAATTTCTAAAAGCTCATCAAAACTTATTTCAGAGTTTGAGACCAGCAAGATGTGAAACTGTAGTTTTTCACAGTTGAAAGTGTAGGGGTTTTGGTAGTTCTTGCTTCTGTGTCCTTCAATTTGTCATTTGAAGAGTGAATATTGTGGGTAAGACATGATTGAGCAAATGTTTGAGATAATCATAGTATTGCACCATGTAAACAAACATGACCAAATCAAAGATGGAATTCAAAATAGCAAATACCATGATGAATGGTGATAATAACAATGTAATAGTTCTTAAAAGAACTGTTTTAACCAGAACACAACCCAACAATTGAAAGGAGCCGTTATTTACAGCTAGAAAGAGACACTATGCATTTCGTCTCTTTCTAGCTGTAAATAACGGTTCCTTTGAATTGTTGGGTTAGTGTTCTGGTTAAAACAGTTCTTTTAAGAACTACTACATTGTTATCACCATTCACCATAGTATTTGCTATTTTGAAATCCATCTTTAAGTTTGTCACCACGACAAAGTCTCTGTTTCATGACCAAATTAATGTTCATCATCTGATCACTCCTGATGAAGACACTAGACTGGAGTATATAAGGGCTCAAGTTTCAACATCAGATTACTCCTGATGAAGACATTAGACTGGAGTATATAAGAACTCAAGTCTTAACATCAGATTACTCCTGATGAAGACATTAGACTGGAATATATAAGGACTCAAGATTCAACATCAGATACGACTGGAGTATATAAGGACTATTCACACATGACGAAGACTAGATTGAAGTCTACAAAGACTGATATTTCAACATGGTGACCAGCGATTCGTCATCCACTGCATCACTTCCGTCTCACTTACATCTGCTCTGCTGCGAATTGTGCTTCTCTTTGGACGAATGAGGACATCCTTAAAATCAAGTTTAATATTGTTATCAATATGTGGCATGTTGACAGCGAAATAAGAACGAAAAACACGTTCAATTTCAAACAGATTTACGTAACCCAAGAACTCCTTCCGGGTGTAAAATGCTGAAAGTTGTAAACAAATAGAAAATACGCTAAAAACACGTGCGACATTTTAGCGCGTTTCAAACTTAATAAATTATTCGCAAGTGTCCCCGTCTGCAGAGTTGAATGAGGAAATTGGAATGAGCATTATCTTTCAAACTTTTCTTTTCATTGAAGAAATTTATGTTACATGAAAAGCGTAATCCTTAATATCATTCGAACGAAAAATTTGTCAAAAACCTTGATTTATTTTTCAACAGCACCCATATTACTTTTTCCTATCAGGGGGGTGAAGATGAGAAACATGACGAGTTTCGTTGAAATTAGATCGCATGACTGCGCATGACTGCTGACACGTGTACATTTTCGCGCGCAAGTTCACGATTCGAAGTTAGGTTCAAAAATGGGTCATGGCTGCTGTTAATGGTGCAGACACTTACGAGGTATAAAACATCTGGAATAACTACTTCAGCAGCTCATTTTTTCTATTTTTTATATCTGAGGCTTATACAACTTTCTTTGTTTGTTGAACAGGTCGATGAGATCGTTGGTAGGCGAAGAACTAAAGACGGAAGAGAAGATTTCCTGGTCCGTTGGCAAGATTACCCACCATTTTCAACAACTTGGGAGCCCATACAAAACTTTACAAATTGCCAAGAAGCAATTCAGGAGTATTTTTCAAAACATTGGCCAATACCAGGTTGGTTTGTTATTTGTTTACTAATTATTTCAACGCTACGCAAAGTTGGCTTCAAAGCAAAGTACCCCCCACCAGCAGAGCATATGGTTGACGAAATTCTATGAAAACGAAATACATGATGTTAGTGTGACATGTATTATCTTGAAGTTCAGATAATTTTGGAGAATGATATGTCTGGCATATAATTAATTACTGTATGCAGAATATGCTTCATCTACAGTTTTAAGCATCCACTAACTATAACTAATGCTTTAAGCAGAGTGTTTACTTATGAATAGAGTAGATTGGAGCTTGAATTGGAATGTATGAACATGGAAAATTGCAAGCATTTGGTTATTTAACCTGAGGCTGAGGCTATTGAAAACAGGTTTAAGTATCCCTTACCAATTGTTGCTTAGCATTGTGATCAAAATTGATTGAATGTACAGCTATACTTTTCACAGCATAGTAATGTTAAAATTGAAATTTTGTGACAGTAAACATGGTTGCTATTCATAGTGGTTAAGTTGATCATGATCCAATCTCCAAATAACGGCTTTCTTAAATAGCTGACTGAGAAATAATTCTTATTTTGCGAAATGTAATTTCTATATTTTGTTAAAATGTGTTTATCCTGAAAATGCTGCTATTCACTGTATCTTTCTTCAACATTTATTTGAGTGTAAACTCCATACTTTGCTGTTGACAATCTTCAGGTTTAAAAGCAAAGACTGTTGTTCATCTTTCACAACAACAACAGTATCCAAAGAAAGAATTGATTACGCTTAAAGCCCTTCCCGCAAATAAACGAAACAAAATTCTGCGAGGTGTTAGAGAAGATCTAAAGAAAGAGATTCTACGTCATCACCAAGAAAGAAACTTTTGCCCAGGAAGTACTGACTACAAAGGATCATCTTCATTAAAGGGTTTGTTTTGCTTTGTGTTGACTTGGGAAATTTATCTAAGATTTTGGTGCATCAGTTTTGTATTTCATTGCAATACTTTTATTTACAGCATCCCTATGTTTGTTTGTTTTTGCTACTTTAAAATGAGCTAAATGACTTCTTTAGATTCTTAATTGATTATAAGAACATCAGCAATGTATTTTATGTCAGAAAAATATAATCTTCATGGGTTTCTTGGGCTTAGAAGTTGATGACTCTGTACCAGAATTGATGATCATGTGAAAATGCATGCATTGAACATATTTAGCTTTCATTATACAGTAAACAATAAACATTTAAAAAGTAAAACTGTTCAGATGTTATTTCCCTCTAAATTCTATAATATTATACGGTGTTCATACTCAAAGAAGCCAGCATGTTCTCTTATGAACATCATTTCAGGTTAGGGTCAACTGCTTCTAGGCCCAAAAAACTCATTAAGATAAAGTTTTTCATCTATCATTATAAAATAAACAATGAAACGCTTGCATTGATTGGTCTAGAGCTGTGTTTGCATTAGCCTATGCAAAACAAATCTGAGCTCAACCAATCAAATCATTTATAGCAATCAGTCAGTCAAAGAGAATTTGCAAATTGATCATGACTACATTTGAGAGGAGAAATTAAAATGTTTACTTTAAATTTGTCTGTTTTGCATTATTGTTATTTCATAAAAAAGAGATGTTTTTCGTGTTTGCACAGGCTTATGCAAACCTCAGAGATGTTTGTAAGAACTCTCGAGCCGGTGCAACTCTCGACATTCGGTCTTGGGCTTGCACTGATCTGTTCTCGAGTGCTCCCAAAGGTCTCCTTGGTTTGCATAGTCCTGTGAAAACACAGCAAACATCTTTTATTTCTTAAATAATCAAATATATTGCAAATGTTCTTCAATTAATTTATCCATCTAAAGAAGCTAATTTTCCATTTCAGGAAGTATAATGGGAAAATCAAATCAAATATTTAATTATGATCGTGGACTTCGTAACAGGAAAATTTTAAGTAAAAACCAAAAGTATTCTGAGGAGTATACAGGTACACCAAAAGGGTTAAAGAGTACTACTATGGGTAAAACAGGACGAAGTAATGGCGAAGTTTTGATAGCAGATCGCAAACATTATGTATCAGCTTTAGCGTCAGATGAGAACGGGGAAGATTCGGGGATTTCAATGAACACAGTTTTAAAGAGCCAATCGCGTGGTCGTCCTACCAGGAATAAGAAACAATTGCGTACAACAGACTCGTTACCAGGACACGATGATGTTGAGCATCAGGATAAGTTATTGGTAAACGTTAAAATGGAGTATCAAGAAAAACAGGAAAACAAAAAAACCCAAAGAATCTCAAAAGGTAAAACATCTTTATTTTAAAACTTTAAAAGTACTAAAATGTACGATTCTACTCTTATACTCCGGATTCTGCCGCTGTATTCTTGATAATTGTGTGTCTAGCTGTTGTCTCAGAACAAACACTTTAACTTTCAGCTGTGCTATTTCTTTGTGCCGTCTCTCCTTCATCAATTATAATTTTTTTCTTTGAATTCTAATGCCCGGTATTAAAGCTTTATAGAAAATATTACTATCTTGTGGCTTATGTGAAATTTTGTTTTAAAGTTAGAAGAAAGAAGAAGAAACGATTGAACGGTTTAACGCATTCATCGCAAAAGAACCGAATTATCATCGACAATCAAGAATTGCTGCTGTCATCTCGTCTAACACGACGGACTTTACCTAATTATTCATCAAACTGCGTGTTGGAAGAAGAGCTTGTCGTCACTAATAAAGACGGTTGTTTGTTTATCAAGATTTGCAACGAAAGCAAGAAAAATGTTATCAATCGACAGGTAGCGCGGTTAATTATGTTGTATGTATAAAATTATGGCGTTTCGTACTTTCTTTCTTTTGCATGCACACTGCGTACTTAATATTGAGTCATCATGTACTCCATGTAGTGTGACTTCAATAGGATTTTGAATCCTGAATCGTTATATGCTCCCATCTAGTATGAGAATACATATGAATAATGCTCTGAACAGTTTATCGGATGGTGATTGAATTTTCAGTAGTTCTTAAAAGAACTGTTAAAAACTAAAATAAAGATAGTTGTTAAAGTAGCAAATGACTAGATAATGCATGTCGACAGATGTCTCATCATCTGTCAGTGTCTGGGAAGTCTGTGCATTAAAAATACATCGCGTCATTTAATTTAGTATAGATAGCTATCTTTGTTTTGGTTTTCAATATTTCTTGTAAAAACTACCGATTGTCATTCACAATGACAAATATTCACAGCTCAGAGCAATATTTTTATGTTAAACCAACATCGGAGTCTTTATTTTACAACATATGAGAAATAATGTTCTCTTGAGCAGTGTCGTCAACAGGAGTGATGCGATGTTGAAACTGGAGTTTTCTAAATTGCAATCTTTTTAGAGACATTACTTAAGTAAACTTATTCCATGCATTTCATATCATGATACATTTTCTTTCTAGATATGCGAAGACCTTATATCTGCATTTCATGATGCGGGCAAAGATGACGTGTCATGTGTCGTCATTTCCTGTGCCGGAAGTACGTTTACTTACGGATGGGATCTTGATCAATTCAGAAATATCTCTCACGCAGAAAGACGAGAATTATTACAGAAATACAGGTTTGCATGAGTTCATTTCAGTTCTAATGTATTTTTATACAGATCAGTGGAAACCCGTGACCGAAGGTCGACAGTTCTCACCAACGTTTTCGAGGATTGCATAAACCAGTGCAAACACGAAAAACATCTTTTATTTCTTTTTTATAAAATAGCAATAATGCGAAACAGATAGTTTTCAGATAGACTTTTTAATTTTTTTTCTTATTTCTCTATTAATTCATCTCTATTATTTTTTTCTGCATGCATTCATGAATTTTTTGCAAATTTTCTTTGATTGTTTGACTTGATTGGGGCTCAGATCGGTTTACCCAGTCTATTGGAAACTCAGCTACCCACCAATCAACGCACATGTTTCGTTGCGTTTATTTCATAATTATCTGTGACTTGTGTGAAGACGACCTTTCCAGTTTGTGTTGTTTTCGACAGTTTATTAAATAAAGAGTTAATAAGTAATGTAGATTCATGTTGATTACTTAAAATTGCTGAATAACGAATTTTCTTTTTTCTCCCCAGACTTCTCACTCGACTTCTTGTCACGTGTCCAAAACCTTTGATCGCTGCGGTAAACGGTCCAACAGCTGGATTTGGTCTTTCCCTTATCGCATTGTGTGATATGGTCTTTGCTTCAGAAAAGGTAATTGTATTGAGTTTATAAAATTACTCATCCTAGCTGGTCTGACTTCATCTGTGTTTTTAACAGTTTAATATCAGAGTTATATTTAATATGGAAAATAGTGATTGTCTCCAAAGAGTTTTTTGCGCGTACCGTCACGTCACTAACATTTAAGTCATTTTTGAGAGTTTTGTGGAAAAAAGAAAGGAATTGATGTAATTTTGAGAACAGCCGAACTTTCTTGAATGTCATATGTCAAACATTTATTGAGTCGTTTTTTATTGGTCAATTTACTTCGCCAATGAATGCAATAAACACGTCAATAATACATTCAGACGAAAATCCCCAAAGTGAAAAAATATAACTTACGCAAAAAAGTAATTCGATATTAAAACTCGGTGGGTTCAGTTTCCTTTACCCCCATACTTCCCTCTTTACCCACACCCCTTAATATAATTGAGTACTTTGTTCACCCCCTAGAGACTCCTCAGTACAACATTACGTAATTTTTATTTCAGTTGACATATTCGTCGTGTTTTTTTAAAGGCAACTTTTCAAACGAAGTTTGTGGAGTGGGGTCATCCTCCAGTTGGATGTTGCTCTCTAACTTTACCTCATTTATTTGGTCATTCACAGGTACACGTGACTTGTTTATATTAAACGGAGGCCTGGGCACTAGGTCATATTTTGCCATGTCATGTACTTGAGTTGTTTCCACGCCTGTTGTTCACTTATATAAACATTAAAATGTTTTCTTTTCTTGAACCTTAGAGGATGTGTTATGTTCTGAGGTGTTAAAAATTAACTGTGAGATTGAAAAGTTATTAAAACTACGAGTAGCTTTATCTAAGTTCCCCAAAATGCTTTACTCCCTATCCCTACCCCTTTAAAAAGTATTTCGTGAAACATAATTATTTTTTCTTTATAAAAGAACCGAGTCATTTTGCATTTTGTCTTACGGTGAATTTCCTTTAAATCAGGCAATGTCTGTTATTCTGTGCAACACGAAACTCGACTGTGACATGGCAAAGGAACGCGGAATTGTCACAGAAGTTTTATCTTTCAAAGATTTCGAGGAGGAACTCAATTCACGTTTGGCGAGATTTTCACTAGTTTCTAGACAGGTTTGTGTGTCTATTTTTACGAGGGAGAGGGACTGGGCACTATTGGAAACCATGGGGTGGGCGGAGCTTAGCAACTGGAGGGAGAGGGACTGGACACGGGACCTTTGAAAATGCAATAAATTTCTATTGTCATTCATGGACGTTCACGTCGCAGATGATCGAAACATTTACAGTTTCGAACTTTTAAAAAATCCATGTCAGGCAATAGTAAAGCAGCATATTTAATATTGTAGTGCCTGCGAGACACGAAGACGTTGATGGTCAGCGGTAATATACAAGAACTTGAGGATAAAAATCACGAGGAATGCGATTTGTTTCAAAAGTACATCAGCAACGATGATATTTTGGATGGCATCGTAAGAAGATGGTGGACGAGCTTACAGGAATGACTTACCATCCAGGTATACTTGCGATCAGACTTACGGCTAATATTTATTGTACAAATAGGATATTGTGTCCCCAATGATCCGTTTGTAACCGTTACGCAGCGGAAATTGTATCCCCAATGATCCGTTTGTAACCTTTACGCAGCGGAATTTGTAGCGTTGTTGGTGTAAATCATTCGTAACTTGAGTTGAATAACAAAACATATAAGTTCATTGAACCACGACTTTTAAACATGCAGCGGTGGCAATGGTTAAAATAATTGACTAGATAGATTGCGTTTTGAATCAAGTTCCAAAACATAGCAAAAAAAATTTTGCTGAAAAATTTCGAACACTCGTTCTGTATCGTCGAAGTCATTGAGACTTCAGTGTTTACTGCTGGCGTAATGGACTTCTTAGTCGCAATAACCTTATTTTCTTGCGCATTTGTTGAAAAATGATGCAGTTGTTTAAAAATAAGTGTCATTAATTAACATGTTGTCACGTGACATCAAGTCGATGTTTGCGCAGATGCTTTTATACGCTTAACACTTTGATGAAAATGGTTTTTATCGAACTGAATAAAATACACAGAAAGGAAATAAATCGAAAATTTCATAAAAAGGAATCAACTTAATGTTTCAACTACATTTTTGATTTGCGTTGTAAAAAAGTCATCACTGCTTGCGCGCATTCCTCCGAGAGCCATCTTTGAGCAAGCAGTTCGCATTCTTTATTATTCACATCATGAAGTTTCTCCAGCTCAGCTGAGCGACATAATTTCTTGGACAATGAGAGCGACTGAAATGGAGAGAAGCATTGTATGGTTAAATGAAACCAAGCAATAACTGTTAAGTCCAGATTTGTGCTACCTTCGGCGGCAAGGCAGCCATGTATTTCATTTTGTTGTTAATTTCTTTTTCAAACTCGGCTTGAGGAATAACTTCTGTTACCAAACCGTAGTTACAAGCTTCGACCGCAGTCAGTTTTTTTCCAGCGAGTAACATCTCATTCGCCTGAGTGCAAATCAATAAGAAATGTGTGAAAATCGTACCTTAACTCTAACTGTATTAAGATAACAATACCTGAGTTAACTAAGCAAGAAGAACAGGGCTCAAAATAACGGCCAGGCAACGGAAAATGATTTTCAAAAATGCCTATGTATCGGCCACATCTTCAGTTTTCCCATAATAATTTATTAATCGGTTTTCCTTTCAATATGCTTTTGCAATATTGAGCGTCAATGTAAAAACCATGTTTTCGCTTGTAATTATATGCTGGCTAGGGGCTTGTAGCATTGAAGGTTACGATTCCGTTTTCGTAAAGTGTGTCGTGGTCAGCTTTGCGTTGTGAGGATTTCAATATTATAGTGAGACCATGCGTAGTGATATCAGAAGCGCTTAGTTAAAAATGTTTTTTCACATTATCGACGAAAATTATGTATATTAATGTGACTATACAAAAACTGACTTTGACCAAGCCAAAATGAAATTGACCTTTCGTCATGAACGAAAACATTTCGGCCGTTATTTTGAGAATCAAAGAATGGGTCGAGGACGTTTGTTATATGAATTTTTAAATTGACGGCATTCATGCTGTGATGATGAAAAGAGTTTTTAATCTAAACGAGGATGTTAAAGGAGGAGGCTAATGATGTTAGGAGGAGGTTAATGATGTTAGGAGGATGTTAAACAAGAAACCAACTTTCGTCCAGCATCAATACGATGACAGGGTTAATTGAAAGTGGACTGGGACAGATAGTAGGTGTTACGTCACCTTTGCATAACCCATGATCTTTGGAAAGAGATACGAAGAGCAAGCTTCAGGACTTTGCCCTAACGTCATAAACGGTGTGTGAAATGTCGCAACATCAGAAGCATATACGATATCAATTAGACCAAGTATTGTCACAGATATTCCAACTGCTGGTCCATTGACTGCAGCCACGATGGGTTTTGGGAAGTCGATAAAAGTTGCAACAAATTCTCTAAAATATGAAGGGAGACATGTTGATGAACTTTCATGTGAAACAGGTTAATCTTTGTTGCTTTTCACCTCAATATTTCTTTACTATCAGCAGCAAGTTTTTCTGGACCTTCAGGAGGAATGTTCATAAAGTTAGTGAGGTCATTGCCACTACAGAAATATTTTCCAGCTCCTGTTATTAATGTCACAACCGAATTATCATCTCTTGCTTGCTTTAGTGCGACAATTAACTCATTGTACATCTGTCAATAAATGAATTGAATTAGAATGACTGGCAATGGTTAAAATAATTGACTAGTTACGGTTAGTGGTGGCCTATTGAATGGGTATGACTGGTAATGGTTAGAGATAAACCATTGAATAAATGACTGGTCATGGTTAGAAGAGGTGGTCTATTGAATGGTATGACTGGTAATGGTTAGAGATAAACCATTGAATAAATGGCTGGTTATGGTGAGAGATAAACCATTGAATAAATGGCTGGTTATGGTGAGAGATAAACCATTGAATAAATGGCTGGTTATGGTGAGAGATAAACCATTGAATAAATGGCTGGTTATGGTGAGAGATAAACCATTGAATAAATGGCTGGTTATGGTGAGAGATAAACCATTGAATAAATGGCTGGTTATGGTTAGAAGACGTAGTCTATTGTTGGCGCATGATTTTCTAGTAGTTAACAACAAACCTTTGGGGTCAAAGCATTGTATTTATCAGGCCTGTTCAGTGTGATTGTCCTCAAACCACCATCAGTAGAGACAAGAATATTTTCAAACTCATTTGATGTATTAATGTCTTTGTTGGGTTGGCTGTTGGTCTTGGGTTCTTGTCCTGAAGTTACATTTAAGAAATATTGAATAAATTTGCAATAACTGTTTTGGACTAAACAGCCCAAAAGTGGAAGAGATTGAGTTCAAAGATGTTTCATCTCCTTAATGAATGACTAAGGTGTTTCACTTGCATGTCAAACCTCTTTAACAAAATTTAACTTAAATAACTGTAGACATATAACAAACTGAATCCTGTATTGTTAAAAACATTGTTAGTCAAAAAATCTGTTCTATAGTTCAATGTTGAGAAGGACATGTACACAACATGGAAATGATGTTTATACCGAATATTTTGCAGAAAAGCTTTGTGTTTATAATACACAGCAAAGTTCAAAATCACCTAGTAAAGATTCCACAAGTGCTATATACTGTTTTTGTGCATCTACCTAAAAGAAAATTTCAATTTAAAAGTATTTATGACATGCAATAGAAGTTTTTTTCAAAAGTACATAGGTATTTGATAGAGAATCAATGGTAACATTTGCATTTTTTTCCTGCATCCCCAATACTAAGAATGTTAAGTATAAAATTTTACTCTACTAAATGTTCAGGAATTCTGTGTAAATACAGATAGGGAATATAATTCAGATTGCATGGCTTGGAGATAAAATATGTGTATAATAACCATTGAAAAGCACAGATTTACATGCAGATAATTTAGGTGTATGTTCTGGTAGGTATATATGTACTCATAATTTCCTGAAGAGCCACACACTCAGTTCTTAATTAACAGTGTGCTGTCAACTTTGCACGAAACAACTTGTTTCCTGTAAATAATTTGATGACAATAGATTTTAGTAAGACTTGTGAGAGTGTTCAATAAAATTGTTGAAAGATACAGTCCTTTGGTGATGTTTGAAGCTAGATACATATTGAATGTTCATTATAAGATAAGTGCAGCCTTTTTTAAACTAAATATTCACCTGTGATAAATCACCCAAATCATTCCATGCATTCCATTTTGCCTTTCCAACAAAGTCCAAAGCCCCAGGCTTTGGTGTATTACATTTGCCTGAAGAACCCTGGAAATGATACATTGTTATTTCAATTTGTCTTATTTTTAACTTTGATTTAATTGTATGGTGGGACTGTGAACAGTTATAATTGAAAAAAATTGACTGTGCCTTTGCAAAAATATGATTCAACTGCAATGATGCACATTGTGCATTAAAAATGTAAAGTCACCATTTAATTGAAGAGCTTGTTAGGTTAGGACATACAACAACTAATGTTCAAGCTTTATGTACAAACCGGATACAATATCTTTATGAATCGTAAAATACCTGCTTAAAAAGGGCGTACATCTTCAACTTCAATTCATTCCCTGGATCTTGAGTTAAAGTTCCTACTTTGTCTTTTGCTTCTTTGAACTGGTCGGAGATGGCAGAGAACTTTCGAACCATTTTCGTGAAAATGTTCAGGTTTAAATAAGGTCGAGATAGATAGTTCACTATACCACGACTAAAAATTGCATGCGATTTACAAACTCTTGGCGTCACGTTCATTTGCTATAATGAAATGTACACTAAATATTTTCTTATTATTGATTGAACTTTGGACGAATAAGAAAATTTATATCCAGAAATGACATGAATAAAAGGCAAAAGTAAATCAAACATGTGACTATTTTTGACCAATGACATTAGGATGTTGATAGTGGTTACAATGGATGATAGTGGATAATTATGGACATGCTTTCAAAATGGCGTATGCGGAACAATTTTATTTTCAGTCAATTTGGAGCACACTTAATCGTTTTATGGCAAGAATAGGTAAATGTTGGCTGAACTGTATAAAATAAGGCGTGCAAGGATGCAATTCGGAAGCGTAAAAAAAGACTTGAGGCATATGCAAGACTACTATCTTCACGTAGCAGACTGACATTTGTGGTGAATTCACTGAATTGTTCTGGAAGCTAAAAGTTATTGGTTGTTATTCTGGCTATGTGAATCCAATCTATCTGCATGAGTTCTATGATTTTAAACAGCAAATCGATGCGTTACGTATGAGTTGTATTGACCAGCTTACTACACATTCTACACTTCACCAATTTGGAATTTGAAACATTTTGGTGATGAGAATTTTATACCGACGTATCCCTGCGATAGAAAGACTCATAAGAAAAACTGCTATGTACAGAGTAAGGTAAAAGTATTTTACTCGCTGATTACCTAAATATTCTTTGAGTATTTAAAACTGGCTCATATAAGACAATAATGGATCTAAATTTTAGCTAGCGTGTGCAATATTATTGTAAGTAAAACGATGCATGGTAGTGAGGTAACTTAGTGATTAAATGTACTTGAAAGCCGAGGGAGATTTTGTAGTAAAAGTCCAAAGACTTGTAGCACCGAGGGACTTTAGCTAACCTGCCAGGGCTTTCAAGTGCATTTGATTGCCAAAATGTTTTAGTCAGTGCTTCATACACTGTTTATAAATTTGAATCTGCAGCTATTATTACCTAAGTGAAGATCTATTGATTGTCATGCTTTATTTTATCTCCATGATTTTTTTATATTTTCACCATCATAAGTTGAACATTTGAGTTACCTCGCATGAGTCTTTTTTACTTAAAATATGTTCTTTAACAATTTGGGTTCATCATTGTTTTTGTTTTCTTGTTATTGATTTTATTTAGCATTTGTTAATATTGCAACTAAAATATTAACTCGTTTCAGGTCTCTGTTTGCTGAAATCAATATGGCTTCTAACCTTGAGCATTTCAACTCAATGGTTGAAACCAATGAACTATTTAATCAAGTTACATTTGATTAAATAGTTCATTGGTTTCAACCATTGCGTGCAATTCCTTTTTATAGATATCAAAGGTATAGACAGGTATTCAAGAATGAAATTGTTAGGTTAAACATTGTAATTTGATATTTCCTTTAGTTAACTTCCTTATAGACACGTGAACATTCTTATAGGACTTTTACTGCATGCTATTATATATTCAGTCGAGTCGAGTCAGTCGGGTCGAGCACATGTAACGCAATGGCGAACTTATTATAAACTTGATCTATATTAGCTTAATAGTGTGATTTATTCGCTACCACCATCATGAATTCAACAGGTTATGGCCAAGCAACAGCCGCCTAATTTTCGATGGTGACGAGAGAAAGTATGAGTTATGGGAAATAAAATTCCTTGGGTATTTAAGACTCAAAAAGCTGAGTAAAACAATCCTGTCGTCATTGCCTACCGAAGCTGGACCAACACAAAGAGAAGAAGACGCTGTGAAAAATGCCGATGCCTATGCTGAACTGATACAACTATTGGACGATAGAAGTTTATCTCTCGTCATTCGTGACGCTGCTAACGATGGAAGAAAAGCTTTGGCGATCTTACGCGAGCACTATCTTTTGAAAGGCAAACCACGTGTGATAACGTTATATACAGAACTAACTTCGCTAAAGAAGTCAAGTGATGAAACAGTTACGGATTATATGCTGCGAGCAGAAACGGCATCAACGTCTCTCAAATCTGCTGGTGAAACGATAAGCGATAGCTTGCTGATTGCCATGATTATCAAAGGATTGCCTTCTGAAAAATATAAAACGTTCTCGACGGTTGTGACACAGAAAGACAAGGAACAAACGTTTAGCGAATTCAAAGTCGCGCTGAGAGGTTTTGAAGAAACACTAAAGCTCTCAGATGAAGACAACCAAAAGGAGGACAGCGTGATGGAAGTTCTCGGTAAACCCACGAGCAACAGACACGGCAAAGGAAAAATCGTTTGTTACGGATGCGGAAAACCAGGACATAAAATATCAGAATGTCAGTCAAATAATCGTTGGTGTGATTTGTGCAAGAACAGCTCCCACAACACAGAAAAATGTCGCAAGAACAAGAAGAAAACGAGGAATACGAACGATGCTACTAAATCAGTAAGAGATAATTATGTTAGTTAGTAACAATGACATCCATGAAGGTCATTCATATGCATTCAATGTCAACGTGGATATAACGAGCGCTGACTATGTTAACCATGTATTTGTAGACTGTGGGGCAACTACACACATAGTTCATGACATGAACAAATTTATTAGGTTTGACACAAATTCATTCCTGAAAGGCATTTCATTGAGTTAGCAGATGGAAAAAGGTCAAATAAGGTTGCACAAAGAAGGGGCGATGCGGAGATTGAAATTAGTGATAATGATGGTGTAATGCATAAGGCTCTTCTTAAGGATGCTCTCTATGTCCCATCCTATAAACAAGACATTCTCTCTGTACATGCTGCAGTTAGTAAAGGTGCCACTGTTACTTTCTCGCCAGATTGTGCTAAATTAGTTAGCCCAAATGGGAAAGAATTTCCAATTGAGAGAAAAGGAAAGTTATATTATTTGAATAGTGTAATCTCATCTAGCATGACTAAGCAAAATGGCAAAACAAAATCTTTAAAGGAATGGCATGACATCTTAGGGCACTGCAACCTAAATGATATTATTGCTTTAGAAAATGTGGTTGATGGCATGAAAATAGACAAGAAGGAAGAATTTGACTGTAAAACTTGTGTAGAAGGAAAAATGACTCAGAGCAGAAGTAGAAAACCGATAGGCGTGCAAATGCAATTCTAGAACTAGTCCATTGTGATTTAGCAGGTCCAATAGATCCTGTAGCCAGAAATGATTATCGATATGCACTAGCTTTTGTAGATGATTATTCGGGACTAACTATGATATATTTTCTAGTGAATAAGTCTGACACTATTAAGGCAACTGAAAATTTTTAGCTGATATTACTCCATATGGCAAGGTAAAACGCATTAGGAGCGACAACGGAACAGAATTCACTTCACAAGAATTTCAGAATCTTTTGGTCAAACATAGTATTAAACATGAAAAATCAGCTCCCTATTCACCCCATCAAAATGGGACTGTAGAACGAAATTGGAGGTCACTGTTTGACATGGCTAGATGCATGCTATTACAATCCAAATTACCAAAAACATTTTGGGTTTATGCTGTTATGACCGCAGCGTACATAAGGAACCGTTGTTTCAATCATAGGATTAAGAAAACACCGTTTGAAGCCTTTACTAGACACAAGCCAAATATTCAAAATATGCATATTTTTGGCACTATTTGCTATGCATACAAACAAGAAAAGAAAAAGTTAGATGCAAAAGCGGAACAAGGTGTATTTGTAGGCTATGATAAGGGAAGTCCAGCCTATCTCATTTATTTTCCAAGCACTCAAGCTATTAAGCGTTGCCGAAATGTAAGATTTTCCGACAAATTTAATGTTGAATGTGATGTACCAAAGACTGAAGTAATGATTGATGAACCAGTACTTGTGAGTATGCCTGCAAGCACCACTGAATACAATATAGTTAATGAAAATCCTCCAGTTGAAGTAAACGAAAATGAGCTAAACACATCCACTGAACAACCACACGTAAATAGATATCCAAGACGTGAGCATACAAAACCTAGATATTTGGAGCAATATGTTGATGGAAGTGAGATTGAGGAAAACAATGTAAATTTCACTATTGACTACTGCTATAGAGCTGTAGATGCTCCTAAGTCTTATGAAGAAGCAATGGCTTCTAATGACTCTAAGAAATGGCAACAGGCCATGGAAGAGGAAATCAAAGCTTTAAAAGAAAATGAGACATTTGAACCAGCAATTTTGCCAGAGAATAAGAATTCTGTGGGGGGGGAAATGGGTGTATGCCATAAAAACTGCTCCAAATAGGGAAGAAAGATTTAAAGCTCGTTACGTAGCAAAGGGGTATTCCCAAATCCCACATGTTCATTATCATGAAACTTTCTCACCAACGGCCAGAATGACATCAGTAAGGATATTAATGCAATTAGCTGTACAATATAATCTAACTGTACACCAAATGGACGTTACAACTGCATTCCTTAATGCCCCCATAGATTGTGATATTTATGTTGAACAACCTGACGGTTTTGTTAAAAAGGGAAATAATGGAGAAAATCTTGTGCTTAAACTTAAGAAATCTCTCTATGGATTAAAACAGAGTGGTCGTAATTGGAACAATTTACTGGACTCTTACCTAAAAAGTGAAGGTTTTAGTCGATCTGAGTCTGATAATTGTGTATATGTCAAGATAACTGATACTTCAGTGACAATTCTAATCATTTGGGTAGATGACATAATAATAGCATCAAGTAGTGCAGAGTGCTTAGCAGAGGTAAAGCAGAAACTTAGTAGTCGTTTTAAAATGAAAGACCTGGTCCTCTCTTGGTTTCTAGGTATAGAATTTACCTGTGAGAAAAATGAGATAATAATGAGTCAATCAAAGTATATAGAGAAGATTCTAGCTAAGTTTAACATGCAAAATTGTAAACCTAGATCTTCACCATGTGAGATGAGTTCTAATAAAATGAACTCTGAAGAAACACCACTAGTAAATAACAAGCTCTACAGAGAAATAGTAGGAAGTTTAGTGTATGTAATGACATCAACTAGACCTGATTTATGCTATAGTGTGACTAAGCTGTCTCAGCATCTGTCTGCTCCTACAGCTTCTGACATGAACACTGCAAAGCATGTTTTACGTTACTTAAAAGGTACATCAGAAAAAGGGCTTGTCTTCAGAAAATCTCAACAGCCTCTGTCTCTAATGAGTTATTGTGATGCTGATTGGGGTTCCTCAGAGGATAGACGAAGTATAACGGGATATGGTTTCCAACTAAATAAAACTGGTCCCTTGATTTCATGGAAAAGTAGAAAACAACCTACTGTTGCTTTATCCACATGTGAGGCAGAATACATGTCATTAAGTTCTGCTATTCAAGAAGCAAAATTTCTCTTGCAACTCTTAAAAGACTTTCCAATAGAATCCTCAAATCCTGTTAGTTTGTTTTGTGACAATCAAGGTGCGATAGCTCTAGCCAAAAACCCTGTGCAACATCTATGGTACAAACATATTGATATTCGCTATCATTTTATTAGGCAAGAAATACAAAAGGGTCTAATTAATGTAAAATACGTTATGTCAAGTGATAATATATCAGATATGTTCACTAAACCAATATCTGCACAAAAATTAAAAACTTTTATGTCTACTGTTTTTGGTAACAGATCTTGTAAATAATTATAGATTATGCTTTGTTTACGAATGTAATACATTTAGTTGTAGCTAAAGAAACTAATGTTTAAGTGGGGGTGTTAGGTTAAACATTGTAATTTGATATTTCCTTTAGTTAACTTCCTTATAGACACGTGAACATTCTTATAGGACTTTTACTGCATGCTATTATATATTCAGTCGAGTCGAGTCAGTCGGGTCGAGCACATGTAACGCAATGGCGAACTTATAATAAACTTGATCTATATTAGCTAATAGTGTGATTTATTCGCTACCATGAATTCAACAGAAATAAAATATAGAATGTTTTCATTTGTTGATTAGACATACAGATTGGTTTGTTCACCTCACAACTAAAATATTAACTCGTTTCAGGTCTCTGTTTGCTGAAATCAATATGGCTTCTAACCTTGAGCATTTCAACTCAATGGTTGAAACCAATGAACTATTTAATCAAGTTACATTTGATTAAATAGTTCATTGGTTTCAACCATTGCGTGCAATTCCTTTTTATAGATATCAAAGGTATAGACAGATATTCAAGAATGAAATAAAATATAGAATGTTTTCATTTGTTGATTTGACATACAGATTGGTTTGTTCACCTCACAACTAAAATATTAACTCGTTTCAGGTCTCTGTTTGCTGAAATCAATATGGCTTCTAACCTTGAGCATTTCAACTCAATGGTTGAAGCCAATGAACTATTTAATCAAGGTACATTTGATTAAATAGTTCATTGGTTTCAACCATTGCGTGCATTTCCTTTTTATAGATATCAAAGGTATAGACAGGTATTCAAGAATGAAATAAAATATAGAATGTTTTCATTTGTTGATTTCACATACAGATTGGTTTGTTCACCTCACAACTAAAATATTAACTCGTTTCAGGTCTCTGTTTGCTGAAATCAATATGGCTTCTAACCTTGAGCATTTCAACTCAATGGTTGAAACCAATGAACTATTTAATCAAGGTACATTTGATTAAATAGTTCATTGGTTTCAACCATTCCGTGCAATTCCTTTTTATAGATATCAAAGGTATAGACAGGTATTCAAGAATGAAATAAAATATAGAATGTTTTCATTTTTTGATTTGACATACAGATTGGTTTGTTCACCTCACAACTAAAATATTAACTCGTTTCAGGTCTGTTTGCTGAAATCAATATGGCTTCTAACCTTGAGCATTTCAACTCAATGGTTGAAACCAATGAACTATTTAATCAAGGTACATTTGATTAAATAGTTCAATGGTTTCAACCATTGCGTGCAATTCCTTTTTATAGATATCAAAGGTATAGACAGATATTCAAGAATGAAATAAAATATAGAATGTTTTCATTTTTTGATTTGACATACAGATTGGTTTGTTCACCTCAAAACTAAAATATTAACTCGTTTCAGGTCTCTGTTTGCTGAAATCAATATGGCTTCTAACCTTGAGCATTTCAACTCAATGGTTGAAACCAATGAACTATTTAATCAAGTTACATTTGATTAAATAGTTCATTGGTTTCAACCATTGCGTGCAATTCCTTTTTATAGATATCAAAGGTATAGACAGATATTCAAGAATGAAATAAAATATAGAATGTTTTCATTTGTTGATTTGACATACAGATTGGTTTGTTTACCTCACAACTAAAATATTAACTCGTTTCAGGTCTCTGTTTGCTGAAATCAATATGGCTTCTAACCTTGAGCATTTCAACCATTGCGTGCAATTCCTTTTTATAGATATCAAAGGTATAGACAGATATTCAAGAATGAAATAAAATATAGAATGTTTTCATTTGTTGATTTCACATACAGATTGGTTTGTTTACCTCACAAGAAAAGGAAGACAATTTGTTTACAGCGAACATAAATGCAGCATTCTTTACAATGTTTTTAGTTGTCTTGTCAGAAATATCGTAAATTTTAATGATTGATAATATTTTTTAATTTTTTAACTAAATGAGTTTGTTTTATACTTCATTAGAAAATGACGGAAGCTTTGAATAAGTTTGGTCAAAAATGGCAGATAAATCCTGGGGATGGGGGATGAAGCTTTCTATGTTTATAGATGTATACCATTGTGAATTTATAAGTTCATTGCTATCACAATTTATAGATTAATATGAAAATTTTTGATGCTTTGAGACGGTCTCATCAATCTGCAACAATTGAACTGGATTTCAAACTTCCTGAGAGATTGAACCTCACGCTAGGTAAGTTTTGCCAGTAAGCTTTTCGTTGAATAACCTCACCTGAAGGCGATGGGTATAACGAGAGATATGGCGAGAGATAGAGACGTTTGGCGTGGAAAAATTCATGGACTGGTCAACCCCTGGCAGGGATTAATACTGGCCGGTATACAAATGTTGTTTGTTTGTTTGTTTGAACCTCACTACAGTCTTGATACTTAATTCATTCAACCAACAGTGACATGATTATTTGTTTCTATAGAAAGCTATTTTTATATATTTATGTGCTTATATATACTATATACTTATATGCAGGCTGGCTATGTTGCTGAACACTGAAAGTCCCACCCGCATTTAAACTCGCCCGCATACAAACCCATCCGCTTATAAGTATATAGTTACATTTGCTACTGTAATGTTAACAGATGACTGCAATAGAATAGTTAGTACTCCATGCATGTATCCCTGTGCATCCCCACCCCTATGTAAATGTCCTTGATAATGGCTCACAAACATATGTAAGCCTGTGTATTATAGTCAGAGGATTACGGTACAGTTTAAGTTTCCGTGAAATTGTAGATCTTTACAAATTGTAACAATTCAGTAATTTATCAATATTCTATTACTCTATTGACAGTGGTGAAGGAGATGAAAAATTACATTCTGCTATTATTCATCAAGCTATTCTAGGTCCAGTTGAAAAAATGATTGCTATTCTTACTGAAAGCTTTGGTGGAAAATGGTGAGTGTTTTCTTGGCTCATGTCGGAGCATAAAGCAAATGAAATGTCCTTAAAATGTTAAATTTAAATGATACAAAGTTTCTTAATTGTTTGGAAATTTTTTATCATTTTTACTTTACTACTTTATTTCAAAATTTTGACGCACTGCATTTTCTGTTATTTTCTAGGATTTTATGGATTTCTCCCCGTCAAGTTGTAGTAATTCCTGTCAGTAATAAATACGATGATTATGCTGAACAGGTAAATTTAATTTAGTAAGCTTAGATCGGATTTGCAAAGGTTAATGCAAACTCAAATTGTTGTTATTTTATGAATAGGAATGTTTTTGTTCTTCTTTTTATTGACATTTTGGTCTTGTTTAGGTTCAAAAGAAGCTCCATACAGCTGGTTATCGTGTTGATACAGACTTGGATCACGGATCAGCACTAAATAAGAAAGTTTGCAATGCACAACTTTCACAGTACAACTTCATTCTTGGTATGAATAAGTCTTTTTAAATTATTTTTTATTTACTGTACAAATAAGTAGAAATTAAAAAGGTTTGGAACCACTGTTGGTGTTCAGAGTTGACTGACGTTTCCAAAACATTAGTCTCGTTCGCCGTATTTGTTCTCGAGACGTCATGACAGAGAGAGAAATATGTGGATGTTTTAGTTTGTGTGGTATACTTATTAATTGTTCGCTTGTAAGCCGTTTATAAGGTGCTGATATTTGTAATCTATTCAATGATTTTTGTTTTGAGTTTGTTAACCTACTTTCTTACGTAAGTCGTTGTCTATAGTCAGTGCTGTTTGTAATGTTGTGCATTGTGATGCTCGCTCGTCAGTACTCGTTGTTCTTGGTAGTTGATGTTCCAGTTGTAAAATGTAAATTATCGTTTGCTGTTGTTGGGTTGTTTGTTCTTTGTTTTGTGTTCATTGTCTTTTTAAGTGTTGTTGTCCATATTAAAAAGCAAAATAGATGTTCGTTTTATTACTATGTGATTGGTTAAATGATTTTATGTTTTTTTTAAACAGTTGTTGGTGAAAAAGAGATGGTCTCAGAAACGGTCAACGTCAGAACACGTGACAACAAGGTACTCGGTGAAAAGTCGGTCTTGGCCGTAATCGAACGCTTGCGAGATTTAGTCAGCTCACGAAGTCTGACAAGCGAAGAAGATTTTTGAAGTAGAACAACATTTTTATTTTTAAAGCAAAGATAAAATGAATTTACTCACAAAAATAAATATGAATGTAAATCCCATGATACGTCGCATTAATAGAAAAATAGGTACGCATACATGCTACTGGTCACTGGCAGACTGGCGGCAGTGGTCACTGGTACTTTATCAGTGGGGGTAATATTGATTTTGTCAAAACTCTGAAGATGACTACCGCTAAGGTTGTCGAAACGTCAGTCAACAACAACAAAAACAGTCCTTCTCAGGACTATACCAACCTGAACGATCTACATTTACAAACATGTAACGATACTCCCGGGTTCATACCATTTACTTTAATATTGATTTTATCGTGTGATAAATTCTTCCATTGGTGATTTAAGGCGATAACTATCAACAACTTTTCAACTTTTTACCATCAAGTTTTCACTCTTTCACATTTTGGCTTGTTTCTTGAGCTAGGAGGCTGTGTGAGTTGATACAAATCTGTTGAAAATAGATGAATTATACAATGACCAATCATGTAACTATGCGAAATTCTTAAATTCTTTAATAATGAATATTTTTGAAGATTTGTTGAGAAAAGTAGAGTTGCCATATTGAATAATTCCGACGAGCTCACGATCGGAAATTATCGTTGTGACGTCCTAATTCTTTCTCAAAAACGAGATAATTTTCCCGCGTCGTTCAAGTCAGAATGGGAACTTCTTCACAACATCTCTGCAAAGAAACGACGATTTCAGGGTTGAAATATATGTCGTTTGTGTCTCATTTCATTTTAAATACGGTTCTCCTACCTACTACTTAACGTACCAAAACGTTTCTTTTTTGTTGTTCCCTTAAAGCAAGCCGAAAAGCTGAATTCGGAAGCCGATAAAGATAGTTGTGCTTCGACTTCAACAAAGATGGTATGCGTTTGACAAAGACGAAAGCAAGAGGTGAATAGTTTATTTTTCTTTACACTTGTCAAAAGTAAGTTTTAGCCTACTATGTTTAAGGCTATTTTGTATTTCGAGAAACGACATTCTTGCGTTAAAATGAAAAGGGGAGATTGTTTTGTCCAAGACAAGAACGTCCCAAACTTATGACAGCACTCATTTGCATACCTTTCTAAGATTAACAATGAACTGTTTGCATGAACAATCCCTATGCGGATATTAACAATCAAACATCACTTGTGCAAACAAAACTGTTTTGTTCGTTAAGAGGAACAATTGTCAATTTAAGGCACACTTAGGCTGCGCTTACACTATACAGAATTCGCTCTTCACGACATCTTCATTTGCTTTATAGGGTTAACTGTTCGGAGTAGAAGCTTATTAAGCTGATAGATTTAGTCTATTTGAACAGTTTCTGACCTTGAACAATTTCACTGTCTTTTAATACAAAGAATATTCAACCTGTTACGATGGCAATCCAGTAAACGGGCCTAAGTTAAATTTGTTTTACACCAATGACTTCTCTAAAACGTTCATACGTAGGTTTGCCTAACAGTTCAGTCATAAGCTATTCACTTATTCTGGATAGCTTTTGGAACTAAATGCTGTATTCATCTCGCACTTGATGACATGTTGTCTCTCGTTATTCACCAAGCAACAAAAACAAGGAGGCGTGTGTGTTCTTTGTTCCTCATCACGGTCTACTGGTCGATATGATTGTTCTTTACCTCTGCTGTTATAATTTACTTGCTATTTTGTTCTTTGAGTTGTCTTCATTTTTCATTCGTTAGTGATGTTGATTCAAAACTTTTTGTCACTTCTACCACCTCTCGCAGGATCATTTTCGTTTGATTCCCGTCTCGATGTCTATATGTGTTTTACCGCTTAATTTTACTCGCAATTGTTCCGACACCAGATCAGCCATGAATTGGTCTTGCATCATTTTATCAGCATACTCGTGGTGTTAACATTGCGCTCCTTCTTCTTGGTTGGGCTTTTTCATATGTGTTTTATTAAGCCTTAAACCTCAGGCATGCCATTGCCTTATCTTTATTTGTCCTCTTTTGATCCACAATGTTTTTCGAGCGATCATCCAGTTGTTCATTTTGCAGTAGTCTAATTATGTGTTTTACGTATTTTTTCAAGGCTTCCTTAGTTTCCACCCAATACACCAAAGAAACTGAGTCACCAATTGTACTTGAAGGTTCATTTTGGGATGATGAAAAAGAAGACAATGAAATAGTTAAGTACTTATGTTAGCGTGCTTATGTTTGTGTATTGTGCTTGTGTTGCTCTACATAAGATTGATAAATAAATCCATTTATTAAGATTGTAAATTGTGTTATGTGAGTAATCTTAATTAAGGTAATAATTATACAAAAAGAATGATAGCATAATGCTATAACCAACAACTGCAAACAATAAAGACCTTATCTAACAACATTTGAGAAAATCAACCTTCCACTCCTCTTCCTTGTAAACGAGACAATTCTACTCAAAAGCAGAGAGCCTTATACGCTACAAGTCTCGGGCTTGTGACCGGTATAGCAGAGTTAAAAGGTGAAAGGTTTATCAAAGATTAATCAACTGAATATTCCTGCTCATTTTTGTTTGGAAGCATGTTGAACAGTTCATATGGACAAAGCTCGAATTCCATGTTAAGTATCAGTAACATAATCCGGTGTTTAAAGTTAGACAATACATCATTGCCCTTCAGTGAAAGCATCCCTGCGGTAGTCTTTCTTACTTTCGCGATGATTTTTCGTCACGAAAGCGATGATTTTTCGTCACGAAAGCGATGATTTTTCGTCACGAAAGCGATGATTTTTCGTCACGAAAGCGATGATTTTTCGTCACGAAAGCGATGATCTTTCGTCACGAAAGCGATGATTTTTCGTCACGAAAGTGATGATTTTTCGTCACGAAAGTGATGATTTTTCTTCACGAAAGTGATGATTTTTCGTCACGAAAGTGATGATTTGGGCAATTTCAGAATCAAGCTTTTACCGTAAGCGTGGATAGACGGTTCTTTGTTCGGCGAAGCCACTGTCAGTTTATGTAAGGACGAAAAGAAATCTGTCGACGAAACGTTAGATGAGGTATGCGTTTAAGTCAAGTTTTAGTTTTTCTTCTTGTTCATCAGTTCATGTCTTCATGACTCTGCACTACAATCCAAAGATTTTGATTTTGTGTAGAGCGCAATTAAATTTGTTTAAACAAGTCTGAGAAAAAACGTTGAAGCATGAAGTAACGTTTCTTACTGTTCACTTACTAAATCAAGTTTTATTGGAAACAAAGCGTTATTCATAATGTTTTGAAGCCATATTGGACAATTATTATTGGAATACGTGATGAGGATGGTGATATGGCTTAGTTTCTTGCAGGACATCTCGTTGCATAACTTGGATTGTTTTTTCTTACAACTGACTCCACTTGTTGACCATTTTGCGAAGGGCTTTATCTGCTGCTTTTACTACTTTTACCAATGAGGAGGATGGACTTGTAAGTTTGCCATAGGTCTTGAAAGATGTTAAGCTTGACTTTAACGAACCTTAATGACAGTATGAGAGGTTGGTCATCATTCTCTATGGCTAAGGCAGTTGCACATTCAGCACACTTGATGCAACTTGTAATTTTTTTGGCTATGTGTTACTGATATAGGTCAGTACATCATCTTGCCAAAGATTAAAATAACCTAAGCACCAGCATGGCTGTTTTCTAGTCCATGAAAACGCGCCATTTGCTCTCAATTCGCTAGAAGAAGTTGTGTTTTTAAAATTTTGATGTTTTAAAGATTTCTTATTTAGTTGGGCGTTGTGTTTGCAAATATCTTCCTCGTTCTTGAATTTTTACAAATATGTCATTGAAAAGTGCTTGAATTTCGTTACTTTAGCGTTGTACGAATCCTTGTAGCCTACTAGTTGACGCCTTGGCGCGTTTTGTTATATCGCGCGACATTATTTTGAACAGTTTGAATTGTTCCTTATGCAACCTTTCATATCTTGTTTTATCTTTTACAGCAAGGTCTTGTCGTGACAATCATCAACTTGGCGCAGAACTTTGTCGGTAGTAACAATTTAAATCTGTTGCTACCTATTGGTCAATTTCATCTCGAGGAAGAAAAAGTCGAAGGGAGGCAAGCAATGGTTGACATCTCATCTCGAGGAAGAAAAAGTCGAAGGGAGGCAAGCAATGGTTGACAGCTCATCTCGAGGAAGAAAAGTCGAAGGGAGGTAAGCAATGGTTGACATCTCATCTCGAGGAAGAAAAGTCGAAGGAGGCAGGCAATGGTTGACAGCTCATCTCGAGGAAGAAAAAGTCGAAGGGAGGCAAGCAATGGTTGACATCTCATCTCGAGGAAGAAAAAGTCGAAGGGAGGCAAGCAATGGTTGACAGCTCATCTCGAGGAAGAAAAAGTCGAAGGGAGGTAAGCAATGGTTGACAGCTCATCTCGAGGAAGAAAAAGTCGAAGGGAGGCAGGCTTCGGTCAATTTTTAGTTTTTCTTCTCGTTCATCAGTTCATGTCTTTATGACTCTGCACTACAATCCAAAGATTTTGATTTTGTGTAGAGCGCAATTAAATTTGTTTAAACAAGTCTGAGAAAAAACGTTGAAGCATGAAGTAACGTTTCTTACTGTGCCTAGGTCGTCGAGAAAATCTGTAAAGAAACTGGTAAGAGTGTTGATGAGCCCACCAAAAATGCACTTCGTTGTAAACTTCGTCGCGACAGAGGTACTAGTTTGGAAAAAAAGGCTCTCACTGAGTTTGGCAATGCTTCAGAAAAAGCCGTTTGTAGAAAGGAAACGTACACCAAAGATAGATCATACAAAGATAGGACATGGTCACTGGTTGGTGAAGTAGATGATCTGGCCCAGGATACAATTATTGAAGCGAAAAACAGAGCATATCATTTTATGCAACCAGAATATGACATCATTCAGTTGCAAGCATACATGTATATTTCTGGTAAGCAACAAGGAACCTTGCTGGAAAGGATACCTGGTGAAAATAAGGAAACAAATTTCGATTTCAATGAGTCAAACTGGAATAAGGTTAGCCTTATATTTGGTTTTGACTTCACCAAATGCATCAGAGTAGCAGGACTTTGTCATGATCTTGGCCATGGACCGTTCTCTCATTTCTTTCACGACATCAGCCACGTGCGCGCGGAATTTTGGTTTTTTATCATTAGGTTCGATGCACGTTTCATTTTCTTTCGTCTCGTTTCCCTTATCTTTGGCAGATGTTTCCGATGGAATATCTTTTTCTTTCGTTTCAGTTGTTTTGGGCAATTTCAGAATCAAGCTTTTAACGTCAGCATCTGTAAGCGTGGATAGACGGTGCTTTGTTCGGCGAAGCCACTGTCAGTTTATGTAAGGACGAAAAGAAATCTGTCGACGAAACGTTTCATGAGGTATGCGTTTCAGTCAATTTTTAGTGTTTTTTCGCGCAATTAAATTTGTTTAAACAAGTCTGAGAAAAAACGTTGAAGCATGAAGTATTCTGAAGTAACGTTTCTTACTCTGCCTAGGTCGTCGAGAAAGTCGGTAAAGAAACTGGTAAGAGTGTTGATGAGCCCAACAGCAAAAGAGTGAATGAAACCATTGTTAGTTTATAAAATGACAAAACAGAAATCCGTCGAAAAAAATCCTTGAATCAATAAGAAATGGTTCTTACTCTGCCCATGCCATTGCCTTATCTTTATTTGTCCACTTTTGATCAACAGTGTATTTCGAGCGATCATCCGGTTGTTCATTTTGCGGTACTGAGTCACCAATTGCACTCGAAGGTTCTTTTTGCGATAATGAATAAGAATACAATGAAGACAGCAGGTCGAACATTGTCAAGGAGAATTTCTAATCATTGATAAAGAATGCTTATGCATCAGAGTAGCAGGACTTTGTCATGATCCGTTGGATATGGACCGTTCTCTCATTTCTTTGAGCCCACCAAAGATGCAACAAATTTCGATTTCAATGAGTCAAACTGGAATAAGGTTAGCCTTTTATTTGGTTTTGACTTCACCAAATACACCAAATGCATCAGAGTAGCAGGACTTTGTCATGATCTTGGCCATGGACCGTTCTCTCATTTCTTTCACGACATCAGCCACGTGCGCGCGTTATTTTGGTTCTTTATCATTAGGTTCGATGCACGTTTCATTTTCTTTCGTCTCGTTTCCCTTATCTTTGGCAGATCTTTCTGATGGAATTACTTTTTCTTTGGTTTAATCTGTTTTGGGCAATTTCAGATTCTAACTATGTGTTTCACGTATCTATCAAGGCTTCAAGCCTTGCATACTTCTGCTTTAATATCTCAAATACTAAACTCTTATATACTTGACAGTAATTAACATAAAAATGACATTTTTATGAATTTAAACTATTGTAATGAATTTGATTGGTTTTGCAATAAATTTAAATTGACGTTGCAGTTATGCAGCAACCCCTATGGTGGCTGTTTCTTTGTCTATAGTACATGTGTTTTATAATAAGTGATAAGTGTCGTCGTCTCTACAGTTCGCATCATATGTATGTAAATTAAAGTAAATTTGGACTGTGAGATAATGACTTCCCCCAACCATTGGCAATGAACTTTTAACATGCAATTGGCATAGAAGAAAGCGATCCGTTTTCAAACTAAACTGTGAATTTGTTCATTTATGGGAAGTATTAATGGCGTCCTTACAAAATAATATCATTGGATTCCCTTTGCTATCAGGCGACATGGTGGATGCATTTCTTTGTTTGTTATCCCCTTAAGACACACATAAAAACCAAGAATTGCTGTTTTCAAAATTATTATTAATGTTTGCCTGATGAGACGAAGACAAGAAAGAGCGACAAGCAGCTTTGGCTGAAAACCATGAAAGGTAAATTTTGAATGTGAGATATATTGACGTTCGACATCTCTCGTTTTGCTTCCTTTGTAAGTTTATGTCATGTTTCTATATCTTTAGATAATTCTTGGCTCGATGTTTTTCTTCAATCGTATTTAGCAGATATAATCAACAACAACTCGATTTTGTTCCCTTTATTCAAGGAAAGCAAGGATAAAGGGGCCGCATCTCGCAAGAAGCCGCAAGTCTCTCATCAATTTTCATTCAATTGTTTCAGGGTAGTAGAATCATCGCGATGTTTTAAGCCTCAATAAATAGATTTATAGAGTAATAACATGTACATTAAAGAAGAAATTCTCGTTGTAGTTGTGCCACAGCCACAAACGAAGAATAATGCTTACGAAGCTCAAAGCCACATGTTGTAAGTACTTTGTTCATTAGTACTCATTTATTAACGGAAAGCTAAGCTGTTATGAATAGCGCAAGTTACATGATGATTTATAATAACGAGAAAAATATAAATTTTGGAACTGAAACTGAATGTGATTTTGAGAAAAGTGTGAAGATGTTTATAGATAGTCACAAAGATTTCATATTCGGGGAAATTCTCTTGCATAAAAAGGAATGAACAACTACAATGTTAAAAGTATAGTTTTTCACACACGGTTTTTTTATTGTGAAATATTCTGTCTAATGCAAAAGGTTGTCCATCTACAACAAAATATCCCACAACAAAATATCAATGCTTTACAAAAAGTAAACTTGGAAGATTAGTAGAAAAAGCTGTTAAGGCGTGGCACGGATTGAAAATTAAAATTTTTTTTATGAATTTAAACTAGTGTAATGAATATGAATGAATTTGATTGGTTTTGCAATACATTTAATTTGACGTTGCAGTTATGCAGCAACCCATGCAGGCTGTTCTTTGGTTTCACATTATATGATTTGATAGCCATTGACTGAGCCGAACGAACCAGAATTTTTAGCGATTTATATTTTGATGATGGATAAAATAATACTTGGATTCTTTGCTTCCGTACATCACGGTGGATGCCCTTTTATCCGTATTTACCATGACCAACTGTTGCTTTCTAACCGCTGAGCTGATCATTAAGCCAAGCATCTTCATAAAAAATTCTTGCTGGATCCAACACGCTGTTTATACTGTCTTTTATCGCCATTAGCCATAACCAACACGCCGATTTTACTTTCTTAATCACTTGCTTACCATATGAAAAATTATTTTGTGCTACCTCTAGTCTAAAAGAACAACCAACATCTGTTTATTTGCAGACAAATGATTTGAATGCTGTTCATGTTGGCTGTAAATTTTCCTGTCGATTTACACTAAATGAGGTTGAAGATCGTTGGTTTGCTTTGCTTTATGATCCAGTTGCATTAAGGTTGTTTCACAGCGTTGTTTCATTAGCAAGGAATTTTTTTTAATCAAACTTTTTGTTCAAAGGTTGGCATCTTATGGCATGAAACAGTTGCCATGTGATATTGTTCAACAAATTCAAAGTAATACATTATGGAGCAAAGAAGAAGAAGATTTATTAGCTAAGACATCTGCTGTATGTAGAAGTTCTTCATCAAGAAAACATATCTATCAACTAAATGTTTCTTGACAACATTATCATTGATCAGACTCTTATTTATTTATAGACAACTACTGCTAATGTGCAGTATTTTCAAAAATTGCTTGAGGACAATACAGCAACATTTCATCAGTATAGAACAGCAAAATCCGTCATGCAACATTGGCTTCAAATGAAACATTACCAACTTCTTGATGATCAGACAGGTTAGCTAAAAATGCCTCGGTAATTAAACATAAGACACTGATGAAGTTAATGATTTTTTTTAAAGTACTGGCATTGGGCAGTGCCACGGCAACTTTCTCTGATTTTGAAGAACAAGGAAGTGAGTTATCGTAAGTTGTATCATGGCTACCCAAAGTATCTAGTTTTATACATGTTGTGTTCATTATAGAAGAGTAAGTTTGCTGTAATGTTTGCATAAAACTGGTTTGTTAAATTCAGAAGTTGAATCACTTTTAACTTTAACCTAATAAAGTTCAAAAGGTAATGATATTGTTTAGAATGACTGATGAAGTTTTGGAACATGAATTAAATATTTCTGATCGTCGGGCTAAACGAGAAACTCGTCAGCTGGAAGAAGAAATACCACGATGGCAGGCAATTGTTGACTCTTTAAATGAATCTGGAACAGCTCCCACTGAATTTGATTCACAAACTTTGGCAGTCTTAAGAGGAAGGCTTGTACGATATTTAATGCGTTCAAGAGAGGTAAAACTTGCATTTCTCTGTTTGTATTTGATTCACAGAGATTGAGAGCCATTAGAACTTTGAGAAAGTCTTTTGTTTTTGTTTTTCTTCAATATTTCTTTGGTTTTTATAGATTATTGTTAGCAGATCTACGAAAGACCATAATGTTGATGTGAATTTATCATTGGAGGGTCCTGCTGGAAAAGTTTCTCGAAAACAGGTATTTTTTTATATGCAAATGTGCATAAACCAGGATGTGTTGAACTTAAGAAATTTGTTAATTTATTTATTTAATAATTTTGTTCCTTGTATAAATAACTTCAATATGTTTTGGTAATTGTTGAAGCAACCTGTTACAAGATATAGAACCTAAAGTCAACTGATATAAAACCTTAATGATGTATTAAATTGAAGAATTAAAAACTTTCCATGATATCACTGACCAGTAACTTCCACATTTTCATTACGACAAAAGGAAAGAAGTTATTATAATATTCAGTTGTACATTTTAAATTATTAAATCATTGGTATCAATCTACCTACGTATGATGAGCTGGTTGAATCTTAACTTAATTTGATGATCAAATACTCAAAGAGAGGATAAAGGCTTGAATATTCTTGGTGTTTTTTTTTGTCATTTATACCTACGATTAGCGCAAATTGAAGATAAACTATTCACAAAATAGGAATATTTTTAAATATTATGATGTTTTAACGTTGCAATATTGCAACAGAAAATGTACCGATGTTTTAAATTGTTTTGTCTTTGAAATCTCCAATTATGGTAAATTTAACCATATTTGTTATCAGTTCTTACTCTATATCCAAACAATTTATATGTCACATTCTTCCCAGTCCCCACTCTGCTATAATTTTATTTCAATATATATGTTGTATGACTTGAGCAAATCTTGACACATTTCTTTAACGACAGGCCGTGATTCGTTTGAAAACAGATGGAGAATATTATATTATGAACGAAGGTAGACGTCCTATTTTCATTGATGGTAAACCTGTTTTAACAGACATCAAGGCGAAGCTTCATCACAATTCGACATTTGAGGTAGATTTCATATTGTTTGATAATGTCGTACTGTCGTTAGAAGATGTTGTACCGTAAGTGTGTATGTTATTTATGTCTTTGTTACTTTATGTTACAGATGATTTTGCTAGTGTGTGTTACTGTCTAATGACTTTGTTACTTTATGTTACAGATGATTTTGCTAGTGTGTGTTACTGTCTAATGACTTTGTTAGTGTATGTTACAGGTGACTTTATTGGTATATGAAGTAAATGGTTTGAACACGGGAATATTGTTACACGTTTGTGGGTGTAGATTGTCCAGGTTAGTAGAGTCCTGAGAAGGACTGTTGGTGTTGATGTTGACTGACGTTTCGACAACCTTAGCCGTAGTCATCTTTGACTAAAGTCATTTCTTCGTCACAAAAGTAATGATTCTTCGTTACGAAAGTAATGATTCTTCGTTACGAAAGTAATGATTCTTCGTCACGAAAGTAATGATTCTTCGTCACGAAAGTAATGATTCTTCGTCACGAAAGTAATGATTCTTCGTCACGAAAGTAATGATTCTTCGTCACGAAAGTAATGATTCTTCGTCACGAAAGTAATGATTCTTCGTCACGAAAGTAATGATTCTTCGTCACGAAAGTAATGATTCTTCGTCACGAAAGTAATGATTCTTCGTCACGAAAGTAACGAAAGTGATGATCTTTCGTCACGAAAGTGATGATCTTTCGTCACGAAAGTGATGATCTTTCGTCACGAAAGTGATGATCTTTCGTCACGAAAGTGATGATCTTTCGTCACGAAAGTGATGATCTTTCGTCACGAAAGTGACGATCTTTCGTCACGAAAGTGACGATCTTTCGTCACGAAAGTGACGATCTTTCGTCACGAAAGTGATGATCTTTCGTCACGAAAGTGATGATCTTTCGTCACGAAAGTGATGATCTTTCGTCACGAAAGTGATGATCTTTCGTCACGAAAGTGATGATTTTTCGTCACGAAAGTGATGATCTTTCGTCACGAAAGTGATGATCTTTCGTCACGAAAGTGATGATCTTTCGTCACGAAAGTGATGATCTTTCGTCACGAAAGTGATGATCTTTCGTCACGAAAGTAATGATCTTTCGTCACGAAAGTGATGATCTTTCGTCACGAAAGTGATGATCTTTCTTGTGTTTGACTTCAATGTTATTCGGTCTGTTTGTTCTCTTGCTAAGAATTCTTCTTCATGTTGACTAAACAAAAATGGACGGCCTAACTTGTTTGAAACTGCTAAACGTGCAAACGAAATTTACTTTATTGAAATATGCTTCTCTTGTTAATCTCAGGATTCCAGCTAAATTTGCTTTAACTGGAGCCAAGTAGTGAATCAAGGTATTGAACGTTGTAAACATTGTCCACTTAATGATTATTAATAAAATTTACACAAGAAGTCAAACTAAGAATCTAAAATTGGTGATATTACGAAAAATATGTTTATACACATATATAGTACAATACTACAAGTCTTCTACCATTTTCTATATGTTGAATAATTACAGAGAAGTTATCAGAAGTCCAACAAGTTTTAAGACAAGCTGCTGGTAATTTTATATCAATGACAAATGTACAGGGTCAGTGTTGCTCAACACCATTTGGTGGTCGTCAATGTCAGGTTTGTTGTTTATGCATATGAAGCACAACCAGGCCAGTGTTATCCACCAAAATGAAGAGATTCTTTTTAGTATTTAAGGGTTCGTCCATTCAATAACATGTTTTATTATTATCAAATATTTTCAATAGACAGAAGGTTATGTCAATATAAACATGATTAGCTTTGCTGTCATACATAAAAGCTGTTTCCTATGCTATAACGCTTGCATCAGGTACCAAATTATAAACCTGGCTGTTATCTAATATTTTGCCTGTTTTCCCATTGTCTGTAAAAGAAATATTGAAACTCAAGACTGGAAATATGACTACATGAAGTACTAACTATTGTTTTAAAATATATTCACAGTTGTCTTTTACTCGGCCATAAGTACACTTGCTGGCTATCAATCATCTTGAATATTTTCTCAATTATTTACCTGTGAATTTTCTCATGTAGTTATGACAAAGAAGGTGATTATTTTCAGATCAAACCAATGTGACCATTTATTCATATTGTTCTTTAGATGACCAAGATAATGATATTCTTGATGCAAGAAAAGTAGATGTGTATTTTAATCGCTTTGATATAAATTACAATATTTGATTATTGTTATGAATAGTAAATCTTCAGTTGTCATGTTAACAGTGAATTGATCACCTTTATAATTGAATATCCTGTTTTTGGCTGAGGAATTAAAACCTTTGTTTAACATTATGAAATAGTTCCTTTGCATGATTTAACAAGTATGGTTAGGAAGTAGATAGCCCCTACCGAAGTTTTACCAAGCATTTGCAATAACATGAAAAAACAGGATTCATTTTGCTAATCAGAATACAGGATAAACTGAAGTGTAATGGTTTTAAAATACATTACAACTTTCTTGCATTTAATTGTTGATAATGAATAAACTAACATTGGCATACAAATGGCTGAAACAACCAAATCTGTCTATGTTTCCAAACCTAATGATGTGTTCTTTTGACTTAATTAGTCTTGTTTTAAGTCATAAACTAGAATAGCAGCACCAACTGCTCCCCTGTAATAAGCACTTGTAATGCTCACCCTTGACCGCAGTATCCCAAACCTTCAAAAGAAATTTTACATAATTAAAGATGCTATCAATTAAGTAGAAAGACAACTTAACACAGGAAGTAGAAGAGTATTGTCGGAATTCATTGCACATATAAAATGACTCAACAAAATCATTGTTTGAATTTATTTTCATTAGTAGAGACACATAATGAAAATAATGATATCAAGTGAGTTTTACATGGTCGTTCGTTCATTAATATTTTAAAGTGCTTAAATGGATTTTATTGTTTAAAAATTGCATCTTAACCAAGAGCATTTAATCCTAGTTCAACTCGTTCCTCGTTCAACAGAAGCATAAAGTCATTTACCTGAGCTTTAATAACTTCGCCACCGATTTCCAAACTTCTGGTCGCAAATTCCACTCCAATTGTAGACTTCGATTCCTGATCGAATTCGTTTTGCAAACGGAAGAAGGCATGATTTCCTACCAGAACGCCAATCATAACGGGATCCCATCAGTTAGCACAGTGCCAATAATTTACGATAATACAAAAACTCAAATATGCACTTGTTGGCAACCCTGAATAATATTTTGACGTTTGACAATCTATACGTACGTAACGTTTTGAAGACGCTACGCGTCACGCGCGTCAAACACGCACATGGGGAACTGAGTCGAGAAAACTGTCATGGCGGATAATTTGATATTCATTTACATGTACTATATTTCAACAATTTTGATTTGTTATTAAGCAAATTTACTTGCTTTGATTTTAGTAATATTTCAATGGAAGGAATAATGCGAAAAGTGATAAAACAGACAATTTTGAGTCAAAAGGCAACGATATACCGACGGAGAAAAGCAGAGACATCGCGAAAAGAAGGTCATAGCTGATCCTATAAAGCAGAAAAGGTTTATTTACTGTTCCCATTGATTTATGATCCATTTGTGTTTTATCTCTATTTTCAGATTGAGTTTTATTTTAGCGATCCCAATCTTCAGAAGGATAGATTTTTAAGACAAAAAATAACAGAAAGCGAGAATGGAAGTAAGTGGTGAAAGAGAGTAGTTGCTGCCTTTTTTTCATCTTTAAACATCTGTTTGTTTGAAAAGTTTAAATTCTCTGTGCACATTGTTCATACACATTATGCGCATTATATGTAGCTGTGTATGTATGTTTGATGCTGTCAAGCATTTTACTTTGAAAATTTTATTTTAGGTATTGAAATTGGGACGATTGCAAATTTCAATAGAATGAAACAATTGTGTGGGTACATTTCTCTTGTTGTAAAAGCAATGAAACGATGTTCGTCTATTGAGGTCAATAATTTTTATCAATCAACAAATTACCATAGTTTGTGTCATATGAAAGGCACAATAAAAGAGTTGCTATTCTATGCAGCATTATCATGTTAAAAACTTCTGAATCCATTTTTCAGGTGATTGATAAGAAATGGTTGAAACTATCGAAGCCACTGCCTGAACCAAAAAATGTTCATTTACAAACAATTTATGTTGTAAGTTTCTTAATTGTCTTCAAGAAGTTAGTTAATGTGTTGTGTAAATATACGTATTTTGAATCTTGAAAGATAAGGGGATTGTTTGGTAGAATGTTTAACACATTTGTGCAATATGTTAACGGAAATGAGCTACCATCTCATGTGTGTGGTGTGTTGGTAATTAACCTTATATGATATGCTTAGGAAGGATTACCATCTAATGCTGAACATAAGTGGTTAAAATCATTGTTTTCATCTTGTGGCAATGTGGTTTACGTTAGGTATGGAAACCTGTTCATTGTTTGGTATTGTACCCCTACTAATTTTGTTTTATATTCTGTTATCTTAGGGTTTGAAGATAGTGCATTTTATATTTCATAAGCAGTTTTTCACTCTAATGAATAGTGTTTGTGAATATTTTTCTCTTAATATGTTATATGTTTTCATTTTTCAGTTTGCCTCGCACAAGTTGAACAAAAAATAAAAGGTTTTGCTTTTGTTGAGTTTGAGAATGAAAGAAGCTGATGCTGCACTGAAGGCTGTTTCTCAAATTGTATAATTTATGATAAAATTTGTTAGAGGTGGACCTAGAGTGTTTTAAAATCATCACACACTCCCTTCCTGAAAATTCCCCTGCCTTAAAACATGCTTAGATAACTTACCTTCATCATAACATTCTCAGACATAGATAGAGTTGCTTGCCTTCTGAATTCAATAAAGTCACATGGTGTTTAGATGTTTGCTGACAGTTCTATTGATCAGAGTTCATTCTAGGAAGGACCAGACATGTTAACTGTAGAAGATGAGGAAATTGATAAATTTAGCATTGAAAACGCTGAGAAGAAAAAGAAACGAAAATGTACCTCAAATGACTCTGATAAAGAGTAGAAAATGCGAAAGAAACTGAAATTCAAACACTTAAAGAACGACGATGTAGAAGAAGTAATCATTTTGAAAGAACTTGAACCAACAAAAACTAAAATCGAAAAAGGCAATGCACTGGAAATTTTTAAAAAGACGGTGAAAAAGGAAAGTGAAAATGGGAGGAAAATAAGTGGAAGCAATGAAGATTCTGATGAACAAAAAACAAAGAAACGTAAACGATGTCTGAAGACAACGGGCACGAGGCTACTGCAAATAAGAAAAACAAACAGATCGACAAAGGAGACAATATTCATGAACAAGAATTTAAAAATGACGTGCAGATTGAGGAAAAACACGTTGAGACGAAAATGAAAAAACGAAAGCGGACAAAAAAAGTAAAATTGAATTGGAAAAACCAAAACTTCGAGTCATATCAAAGTAAGTTCGACTCATTAACATATCGCTTATAATTTCACGTTTTATTAATCCTAAATCTAATGTCCGAGATATATGTTGAAATTGAATTGAAGATCGGTATTTGTCGAATACGGAATTGTTTCGTACATTTCCTTACGAGTATTTGATATAATTTTGCCCGTTCATGAAAAATTTTCCTCTTTTTCTCTGTATTCTTAGGATGGAATTGTTAAAGTTAAAGAATAAATATAGGCAATTACAAAAACAAGCGATGAAAGATGCTAAACAAAAACTGAAGATCGAGTTTGAGGAAAAGAATTTAGAGTGTTCAACTGCAGAAGTTCCACAGCGAAAAATAAAGGATAAAGTGAATTGTAAAATAAAAAATGATGATAACGATGAGAAAAAACTTCCTGAAAAACTTGAGCGGCATAATGGCGTTTTTCTAAGATTTAAATCAAATGAAAATGTTGACTCAAAAGAGGTACTGGTAAGTATTTTGTTCTTCTGGGGCCGGTTGCACAAAGCCTGGATAGCGTTATTCATTTGATAGCAAAAATTTTTTAACTTGTAAGAAAATTGTTTATGAGTTAAATTTTGAAAAAATATTTTACTTCAATGATTGTTCAGTTCGAATCTTATACTTTTTGCTTTTTAAAAGGTTTCATAAAAGTGTAAAAAAATTGCTATCCAATGGATAACGTTATCCAAGGTTCCTGCAACCGGCCCAAGGTAAACAGCACTAAACAGCTTTATCAACTTATTAATTGTTTGTGCATTCTTTAAGGACATATTTTCAACAATTACCACTGTAGCTTATCTTGAAATGAAATAACAAAAGGATAAGCAGCTAAGTTGGCTGCTTTAATTCATTCCATTTTTATGGTTCTTACAACATAATCTTAACCGTTTTCTTTAAATAGAATTGACAAGTGAGTTTTATATACGGTTTCCGACAAAGAAATGTACGAGAAAGTTACAGAAACATTCTCGAAAAGCGATGGTTGTGTTAAAGATATAAAAATTGAAACTTTGGTTAGTTTTTCTTAGTAATAGCGCTATTAGCGTCAAACTGATACGTCATCAATTCGTTTACGTAACGCACGAGAAAGTAAAACATTTTTATGCACTTTAAACTTCGCCAAATAAAATATATATTGGATTGTTACCCAACCATAATAAGTAAGATAATATGATTAAAGCTACATTTGAATTCGGGATTTGTCGGATTTTTTGTCAATGCATAGTTGCTTCGCCATCATTTTGTATTGTTCTTAAACGCTCGAAATCCTCTTTTACAACGTGCAAGTCATTAGAATACGAAGACAAAGAATAGGGAGAGATTAAATATAGAGCGATTCCAATTTATGAAAAAAGGAAAAAAAATACCAGAGGAAGGCAAAAGGTTTGTTTGTTCTCTCAGCAGTAATAATTTCAAATTTTTTATTAATAGAGCAACAAAATCATACAGAGCAGGGGTGCTCCAGTTTTATTAGATGTCTTTTGGTTCTTATAGTTTTAATTAGATTTCTGTGGCTCCCTCTTGGTTGTCGTTATGTCATTCACATGTTAAATGTGTAGTCTGGCAGTTGTTTTAGCACCTCCCCTTTCTCCATAAATACATCCGTGGTAAACTGCATTATGATCATTTTCTTTATGTCTTGTTTTTCTCTGTACATTTTAAAATCCTCTTTTATTAACCTCAATGTTTGCATATGACCGCTGTTAGTTTGTCACAATACGATAAACTGCTAAATATTTGCATTGGAACATTTAGATTACCAAGAAAGTTGATGAACATAATGCAAGAAAGAAAGAACATATCCATTTTAATAACTAGTTAGTAGGCATTAAAAAGTAACATTAAAATGTCCAATTATGTGCATGCTCAATATTTCAAGTGTTATTTTTGTTGTTTTTGTGTCAAGTTTAGTTGGTACACTACTCTTTTTCAATAAAGCTTGGTGGTATATTTTTGTCACCCTTGATATCTTTCGTGTTTTGTGATCGAAAGTTTGCAACACTGAAATCAAGTGTACAGCACTGCTTCAGCGTTTTAAGATCAAATTAAATATATTTGAAATCGACATTGGAAGCGTGTGTTTGAAGAAGTTGTTACACCAAATATCTACAGCACAACTGTGGATGATCAGGTCATTGGCAACATTATTCTGAGAATTTATTCAAGTTTGAAATAGAAAAGGAAGTTTATGCTCTTAAGTCAATGAACTGTCCTGGACATTGGTAAGTTTTCTGTGAATGAAGAAGTTTGTATTAAGATGTCTTTGAAGGTCGTGACACTGATTCCAAAGTTCATCATAGATTAAGAAAACGTCTTCATTTTAGCGTATCAAAATATTTTCTTCTGGGGATTTATTCTCATTTGCTGGCGTTCTTTCTGCCAACTAACGTGAATTTCTTATATCTTCAGTTTGATGTTCGATCATCGCCCTTGCCTTGGCGTGTTATCATTGCGTATGGCTGATTTTGGCGTGTTACATCGAAGCAAGTTATTTCAGCCATTAAAAAATTGTATGTTCTCAACTTGGGATGATTATATTTTAGCAGAAACACTTTTTTGAATGTTATTTTATTTCAAAGAGAGACGTTATCAAAAGTGTCTTACCTAATTTACCTTTCACTTATTTGGGATAAGTTTTAATATTTAACATATTGTAGAAATTTAGCCAATCAGAGATGTAAGAGCTCAAAATTTATCCAATAACATTTGTAGAGCTCATTGAAATCAACCAATGAAATCGATCGGACCACCAAATGATCTTAATAAACGTCAATCACTTTACACAACGGTAGATGCCCTCAAGACTCGAAAGTGAAAGGAAGGTTAGTGAAATTTTGATTTATTGTTTTAAAACACTTCAAATGTTGATAAATTCAATGACAAAAGCCTTGTTTGATGTATTTACGCATTGTTTTTGTATCTTTTCGTCTGTTTTTGTGCAATTCTCCATAACCGTGCCGACGGCATTTTTTGCTGGCCGAAACTTGGCAAAAGGCAAGGCGTTTCAAAGTCTTTTACTGTGCTTGGTGACTGCTGGTGTTTTTAATACTTCGAAGTGAAACTTTGTCGAATTATTTTTGTGCAGAATAGTTCGTAGGTAGTAGACATTCCAATCGGTTATTAAATGCCACTGATCAGCAGGGTTAGTTAGCTAAGAATGCGCTTAGGAAAAATAGCGCAGGGGTCAAAATGGCGTACGTCCTACAAATGACGTAAAATGGAGCCAGTTTCTTTTTCCAAAGATGAAGGGTGCATATTGCCAACAGGACACCTCTGTCAACAACCTTGTAAAGATAAAGGCAGTATAATAAATAAACATAATTGTGCATCCACCGACTGGCTTTCGTAGCTTGTTGGATTTCTGAGGGTTTTCCTCCGGCTTTACGCTGCTGAGCCTCATCTTTAGAGAATCTCTAAAGAACAACAAAAAGGGTATGCCTGGGACCTGCAGTAGGGATTGTATGGTTATTAGGTTGGATTCCCGATCCACTTAAAGAAACAAGAATAGATTTAGACTCTTGTTGCATCTTCTGTTCTTGTTCAATTTGATCATACTGCAAAATTCTTATTTGATGAATGACCAGGCCCTTAATATTTTTCACGTTATGGAGTTGTACGTCCATGTGACGTCATACAATATCACCAAACTCAATTCACCACCACGTTTCTGAAAACGTTCAAAATGGCAATGTGTAGAAAAGAAGAAGAAAAGTAGAATTTGTGCTTACTGTTTACCTTATATATTTATGAGCAAAAAGGTTGAACTTTTTTTATTCTATGGTCCTTCATTCTGCGTGAGTACCTACCCATATATTTTAAGCGTATTTTTGTATATACTTGTAAATTGTAACCTTTTAAAATATCATTTTGAGTTTGACAAGGATGAAAAGCTTCTCCACAAAATGGGTGGGTTTCTTTCTCGTTTCCTTATCCTGAACTCAATAGATAAAATATCAACGAAATTTACAGGGAAAAACATTGCACTATATGTCAACAACTACTTGAGAACCCACACGCTGATAGCAGCTTCTGAAATATTTAAAGAAGAAAGTCTTCAAGTTTGAGAGCAGTAATTTTGAAAGTTGTCGAAGTTTTGGCGAAGGTGATGGTTATAATATGAAATAATAATTTGACTCAGTATGCCCATGCACAAAAATAATTTTTTAGATAGGATGTTGTGACGATATTTCAATGCTTGAAACAATTAATTTTATTATTTATCAACGAGCCACCATTTTATTTTCCTGGGCAGTGTTTCTTCTTTTTCTGGTTAGTTATGGACAAAATTTGCAGTCCAAAAGCTTCCAATTTTTGAATGACAAAAGTTGTCCAACATTAATGTTAAAAAGATATGTATGATAATATTGGATAATGTTATTTCATCTGGCCAAGGCATTGTTGGGGGGTGTTGTGGAACTGGAATTAACAAATATTCCTCCATTTTTATTCATGCGACTTTCAAAGCGACTAGCTGACGCGACTACGCTACTAGCTTTAGTAGTAACCACGCAAAGTGGTAGTTTTAGACGCGCGACTGAAGCGACTGCCTCGTGTGTTTCAGCCTTAAGAGTTGATGATGAAAATTGGCACATTGCCATGAGGAAGTTGCAACATTAATCAGGATCAAGGTGACAAATTTTGATAAGTTTTGAAAGGAAACTAAATATTTTGAAATACACATTTATTCATCACAGGTCAAAGTTGATTATTTTCGTTTAACCAAATGTTTCTTATTTTTGGAATGAACGAAGATAGATTAAAGAGGAAGAAAAACAAGGGAGGTTTTCTTAGTTTTTTTCCCCCGTATATTTGCTTTAAATTAGAACAGTTTTGTCTTAGTAAGAGTCAAACTTCTCAAGCATCCCTGTTTTGTCTCGCTAAGACTCGAATTTCCCAACATTACATCCCATCCCTGTTTGGTCTCTATAAGATTCGACAAATATCCCTATACCCATGTTCATCTAAGCTCTTAGAACGTGAAACTAAGAACTAAAACTCTTAGAACTTAAAACTCTTAGAACTTAAAACTTCAACCGTGTAGCAAAAGGTGATTTGTTTTTGAGAGAGAAATTTGGAGTTAAGTAGGTCGGAAGTCTGCAAGAGAAGTAAGTGTGTTTTGTTTGTTGTATTTATATAGCAAAAGGACATTATTTTTTGTGAAGACAAATTAGTCGATTTGTCTGTTGTGTTTTCTCAGGAATTTTACTTTTTCTTAAATGTTTTCAGTTACACTTCATTGTTTAGATATATTTTTATTTAGACAATCTAGAAAGGAGTAAGTTAAACCTAATTTTAACCCGATTTTCGATTCAAATAGGAAAATTTTGAAATTTCGTGTTGTTGACTTGCGATGTATAATTGATAGTAATGACTGAATGACGGAAATCAGTTGATGTGAGATAAAGTGATCTCTTGTGATATTGATTGTTGAAATTGATTGATTATGAATATTAGCCGAATCTCTGTAGAAATATAAAATGAACTCTAACTACAAAAGTGTGTAGTAGATAGAACAACTTTCATGTTATCAAGCGCAGAGAACTATGTACTATTTTGTTATTGGGCATAACACATAATGGTAAATGTCTTCAAAAAAAATCTTTTAAAGTGAGTAATAATATACGTTTGCTGTTTCCGGTTGAACAATAGAAAATTATCACAACTAACTGAATTTTTACTATGGAATTTTTTGAGATTGGTTTACTTTTGTTTTATTATTTCGAGTCTTAATTTCTTGACCTACTACATGCAGTAATGTAATTTTTATTCACCGAGAACTGTACCCTGACAATTACACATTAAACGTAAGAATACAATTTCTGCATGTATCGAATACAATTTGGCTCTCGCGTTTCACTCACAACAAAGTCTGGAACGAGATAAAGCGAAGGGTAATAATTGCATTGAACGCCAGAAAAATTTGACGTTTGAAATCCACGGTCAAATTTTCCATTTTGGTCTAATAAAATTGCTTATTGTATTTCGTTCAACACATGCAAAATTCGACGTTTGAAACAGGCCTAAGTTACACCCACCAAAATGACAAGTTTGACAGCTGATGACAATCATTTATATTGAATATGCAATGCTTGGCTTGGTTAACGGTACCTCTGCATGTGGTCGGTCGTCGTAGGCGTTGTGTGATAATTAAATTAAAGAAGCAAGCAAACTCACCGCAATTTTATTCAGGCGAGAAGCAGGTTTGATGCTTTTTCATATGATCATGTGAGACGCAAAACATGACAGAAAGTGATTGTTTAATTTACATTTTGATTGAAGAAAAATAGTCTCGCATTGGCATGTTGCCGTCCATGTAAAAACCACGAATCTATAATTTTATGGAAAGCGTTGAGAAAATTTTTATGTTTGTTTTTTATGTATGTATGACAGGAAAGAATGACTAGCAGCTTTTGAAGCAAAACGTGTAAAGTAACTTGGACTGTGAGATAATGGCTTCCCACATGTCTCATTTTGCTTCCTGTGAACATAACATTTTTTATATTTAGTTTGATGAACTTCTAACAAGCAATTGGCAGAGAAGAAAGAGATCCGTTTTCAAACTGTGAATTCGTTAATTGATGGAAAGTATTGGTGGTTTTCTTATGCGCCTTGCTGATGGACTGTGCATACATATCGCCTTATAGCAAAGAGAATCCAATGATATTTCATTGGTTTCTCTTTGCTATAAGGCGATATGATGGATGCCCTTCCTTTGTTCGTTATTCCCTTAGGACACACATGACAACCAAGAATTGCTGTTGTCAAAATTATTATTATTGTTTGCCTGATGAGATGAAGACAAGAAAGAGCTTTGGCTGAAAAACGTGAAAAGTAAATTTGGAATGTGATATATATTGACGTCGGACATTTCTCGTTTTGCTTGTTTTGCAAACATAACTCTATATTTAGGCAATGTTACAATTCGTTCGTTGAAGTTTGGTGAAGAAGCCATTATCTTTAAAGCGATGTGGTAAGTTTATGTCATGTTTGTATATCTTTAGATAATTCTTGGCTGGATGTTTTTCTTCAATCGTATTTAGCGGATATAATCAACAACAACTCGATTTTCACGTTTGCCAGCGTCAGGAATACGTCTAAAAAGGTATTGTGATGAAAGTCATCTCGTAAAAATCTATTGTATTTAATTATGGGTGGAACATTTTCTTCGACATTTCCACCAGGTGCTGGTTCAGTTCATTGAAAGTTTTGTTTATTCAAAACCATTTGAAATATGCGACAAGGAGAAATACTGTGCGGCGCGTTTCGCATCAGTATTCATTCAATTGCTTCAAGGTAGTAAGAATAATCGCGATTATTTAAGCGTCAATAAATAGATTTATAGAGTAATAATATGTGCATTAAAAGAAGAAATTCTCGTTGTAGTTTAGTCACAGCCACAAACGAAGAATAATGTTTACGAAGCTCAAAGCCACATGTTGTAAGTACTTTGTTCATTACTACTGGTTTATTAGCGGAAAGCTAAGCTGTTATGAATAACGCAACTTACATGATGCTCTATAATAACGAGAAAAATATAAATTTTTGAACTGAAACTGAATGTGATCTTTAGAAAAGTGTAAAGATGTTTATAGAAAGTCACAAAGATGTCATCATTGAATGCGGCTTTCATGGCTTAAAATATAATCAGAAACTGGTTTCAAACACATTCTTTTTCTTTAAAAGATTGTTGAGCAGTAAAAAAATATATTGTTTACTGATTGAGAAAGAAGATCTGTAAGGCTACTAACTAATAACTTGCGGTTTCTCTGGCATAAAAAGGAATGAACAATTACAATTTTACGAGTTTCGGTTTTCACATACGGTTTTTTTTATTGTGAAATATTCTGTCTAATGCGAAATGTTGTCCATCTACAAGAAAATTCTCGGTAAAAGAGATTAACCACATATCAATGCTTTACAAAAAGTCAACTTGGAAGAAAGATTAAAGAAAAGCCGTTGTTGGGGCGTGGTACGGATTGAATATTTTCAATTTTATATGATGAATTTAAACTTGTGAAAATTGGACGTTGCACTTTTGCAGCAACCTTACGGTGGCTGTAAGTTTGTTTGGACTGTGATTTCAAAGTATACTGTGAATTTGATAATTTTTGCAAAGTATTGGTATTGGTTTTCATGTGACAATTATGATTGTGTTTGTCTGATGAGATGAAGGCAAAGAAGAGCAACTTTAAGGAGAACTGACATTTCTCGTTTTGCTTCCTTTAGAAGAAGAAGCCATTATCTATAAAGTTGAAAGCGATGTGCTAACAACTTGATTTTCACGTTTGCCAGCGTCAGGAATACTTTCAAAGAAGGTATTGTGATGAAAATCACCTCGTATAAATCGTATTGTATTTAATTATTGGTGGAAGATTTTCTTCGACATTTCCGACGTTTATTGAAAACCATTTGAAATATGAAACAATGGACAAATACTCAGCAGCCCCTTGCTCCATCCTCAAAAAATAGATTTATAGAGCAATATACATTAAAAGAAGAAATTCTCGTTTTAGTTTTGACACCGCCATACACGAAGTATAATGTTTACGAAGCGCAAAGCCACATGTTGTAAGTAGTTTGCTCATTGTTACTCCTTTGTAAGCAGAAAGCCAAACCGTTATAAATAGCGCAACTTACACAATGCTTTATATTTACGAAAGAAATTTGTATTTTGAAACTGAAAGTGAATGTGATCTTTTGAAAAGTGTAAAGATGTTTATAGATAGATAGTCACAAAGATTTCATCATCAAACGCGGCTTTCATGACTTTAATTAAAACTGGTGTTTTCGGCACACATTGTTTGTATGAAATGATAATTTTAGATTTTTTTCTGTGTTTGAACTATAAAGAGCAAAACGAAGGCTTTTAAGAATATGTTGTCTTGTAATAAAAATACACACACTTTAAAACAGTTACTGTTGTTGGTCATTAGTTGATTGTTAATAATGAAACATATCATTTAATACTATTTCGCTTTTTAATTCCTGTTATTTTGATTATTGTTTCAGGTGACAAGCTGATGAAAAAGCTCGAGTATCTGTTCAAGGATTATCGACGGTGGGAATAATTATTAAAATGTTTTTTCTCATTCCTTTTTTGCTTTAGATGATCATCATCGTGGTACAAGGCCTGCTCCTTTTCCCTCCCTTTAGCTAGGTGCGCTGAGAGAAGGTCCCTGACAAAGGACGGGTTGCGTGTTCTTCGGAGCTCGCATTAACGTAACGTGGTCATGTCGGACTAGAGCGCCCATTAGGCTCCGCAATGAAATTTTCTGATAAAGATACATTCTTAGATAATTAAGTCAAGCAGTTAAGTTAAGAAAATTTTCTTTGTTTGTCTGAGGGAGCAAAATAAAAGGGTCTATGTTATTGTGTGTAGTTGGTGTCATTGTAAGGTTTAAGCTGGTGAGTTTACAAATGTTTGGATAAGGTTTGGACGAGGAACCACCTTAGCCTTGAAGGTCAATACGGGGACATGTATCTTTGCCAAGACGTCAACAAATCCATTAAGCCCACTTCCATCTCAGCAACAATGAAAGAAACTTGCGTTGCTGAGGTAAGTTTGCTTGTTTGCAGTTCTGTATTAATTATCGTTAATTGTATGTTGTTTTTTTCAGCTCTGCTGGCTGGGTGGCGTCACCGCACATTGACCCAGCTACCCAATGACTTCCCTGAATTTTCATTATGTGAAAACTGAAAAAAAAAGAATGATTGTGCATGCATGAAGGAGTATTGGTACCAACCAAGTAAGGAGCATTACAACTTGTTACTACTTGTACCAAAATGACAAAAAGATTTATTAACAATTGTGATTTTTCTGAACAATGATGAAAGTGCATGTCAACTTCTTTAACAGAAGGGGAGTTAAAAGTTGTCAAATTGCAACTAAGCATTTGTGGGGAGTGCTTAGTTAACAATTTCAATTTCTGATTTTGCCATTGTATGTATTATTTTGTTTTTGCTTGTGAGTAAGTAACAAATTGTACTCAAGGTTAGGTAGGAAATTCTTCATTGACAAAAAAAATTCTCAACAATGTTAAAAAAATTTAATGTTAAAATTTTTTTGATTACATATTTCGACAATGTTTCACTTCTGACCATATAATTCCAAAATGTTTCATTTTTAACACATGTTTGAAAGTATATCATAAAAACATATATGCATGCGGGCCACGACGAGCGGGGAGGTGGTACTGTCACACGCCGGACTATGGATATACTCTCTCGATCCCGATCTTAGTTAGGTTACGGAATAGGCTCCTTATCGTGCAGGCCGAGAAGATAGAGAAGAATAAAAGGGAAGTTGTTATCTCTGTATTTCAATTATATGACAGTTTTGATTTCTTCCTAATTGTATTTTGTCTCTTTAAGCACTTTTTGTTTAAGCTCATGCAAAATGAAGAAGGTGATGGATTTTGTTTGTGTGTGGACTCCTATAAAGAAAGAAGAACATGCTGCAATAAATGAAAGGAGTTGTAACGTCAAAACTGGTTGGTTGTTGAAATTGTTGTTGTAATTGTTTATATGAGTTTATTTACATTCATGAATAATATACTTGAGATGATATTTCTTTTTCTGTGCTTAATCATTTCAGATATGAAAGCAACTAAAGCTGTGATGCAAATCAATAGTGGAGCTAAATGACAATGAGGGGTAAATTACTCTGACAAAAGCGTACAAAGATTTCTTAGTTTGTTGTAATATTATGGAAAATTTCCAGAGAATTTATTTAAGTGATTTTTTTTCTCGTGTAGAAATTATTAGCAGCTTATGTACTGTTTGAAGAAGGAATTATTTCATTTCAACATGTTTTTAAAGACGTTTCTAACTTTTGAAATTTCCCAGGAATTTTATAAATTAGTCCGAAAATATGTGTTTTATGACTGTAATGTTTGTTGAATTTTTGGTGATTTTCACCAAAAGTACGATAATCTGAGTAATTTATTCCGGTTGATGTTAAATGAAAAATACAGTGAATTGTTTCATTGTATTTTAGTCCATTTGCTTAAAGTCAGCATGTCTGTCAACATCTCAGCAGTTGGACTAAATTACTATTTCAATGAAATGTTGATGTTATTGGGGAAGAAACTGGGCTAATTCTTTAGAGATTATGGACTATAGATGGAAAACAGAATTGGTATGTTTTGTTATTGTCTCTTCAGATGTTTTTTTTTAAGTACGACAGTCGCTGCCATGATTGACGTTTTTCGCTTCTTGGTTATGTTTTTGATGCCTGTTTTTTGAGAAAAGAAGAATTTCTTCCGAAGTGTATTATGCGATTTTAAACCAAGAATTGAACTTCTGTTTCAGTTTCGCACAGGTTATTGAAGCGTTGTTGCGAATGCAGATATTGCTTTTGAGATGACTCATCGTCAAAGATTGTAAGCAGTGGAGTTCAATGTAATGAACATTGGTGCGCTACAAATGCAAAAAAGTGTGTTAGAAGTAAAATCAATGGACTCTGGCTGCAAATGGAGTAATTGGGAAAATTGCACGTTGTGTCAGCAGATAATGGACAACAAACATGGTATGTTTTGTTATTGACATATGTATCAATATGCGATTTTGCTACTTCGTTATATTTTCCATCTAAAATTTCGTCGCACTTTTGCCTTACGATGCTTGTTTTTGATGACAATGCGGCTTCTGCGAAACTCTTCAAACCATGAGTTGACTTTGTTGTGTCAATTATTGAAGCGTTGTGTTGTAAATGGTTGTAATTTGCAGATATTGCTTTTGAGATGATTCATCTTCAAAGATTATACATTCTTTTAGTAACATTCTTTTTTGCCATTATTTGAGAACCGACGATGAGCAAATTGAATAATGGTAACGGTATTTTTTTGCGTGTTGTATATGTTACAACCCAATTTAAACACTAAAAATCTTAATTTTTTTACTTCATCAAAATGAAATATGTTTAATATATGTTTTTGTGTTTAAAAATCTATTGGAAACACATTCTATTTTCAGATGCCGATACAAGTGAAATTGAAGTGAAACGATGATAATAATGCTGTTAATGGTAAATTGTTCAAGGAAAACCAGCCCAGAATGATGTTCAGTGAATATTGCTCGTGGTAATAGATATAGTTTGGCTCCACTATAAGTATAATTGTCAATCTAAATAAAGTTGGAAGTTCCCCTTCCTTCCTACTTTATTTAGATGAAGTTTGTTAAATGTTTTGTCTGTCAAAATTGCCCCACACAATTTTGATAGATAAATGCAATAAAATAATATTGTAAATTGTCTTTTGTCAATAGTTTAAAGTAATTATTATACTGTAATGATCATAATGAATTGATAGACTGTAGATAAACACCGGAATAAGAATTGAGTAATATGAATAATTTAAATGATTTACTGAATAATTTGTATAATTTGATGAATATCGTGACCTGTAATATAATCTGCAGTATTAAGTAAGTCAGCCGAAGAAAGTACAGGGAAAGCAGTAAGGGGGACGGCGAAGGCAGTACAGTGAAAGCGGCAAGGAAGGGTTTGAAGCATTAACGAACTTGGTAAGTCGGGGGGAGGGGAATGATGTGGAAGTCATCTGAATAGATGACGGCCATCTTGTTGTGTGAGAACATTTAATGGCTCGGTGGGTTTAATTTGATGCTGAATTGCGTTGATGTTATGAAAATTCGCAATATTACTTGTCGTGAAGTGTGAGGACGGATAAATAAGTGTGCAGATATATAAGCAGAAGTGAACTTCATGATTTAAAATGACTACGACGAGAGGACAAAAGGTAACGCCATGTTTCACATTATTTCTTTTTCAGTTGTTTGCTTTGTTTCCACCTGACAGAAAAGGTGTAAAATGTTCCTTTATGTTTCAAAAAGATTTCTTGCTCAAAGAGTTTAAATAGCTGAATAGTACATGATCACTTTTGAAATTGAAAGTTTCAATGAACATATTTCATAATTAATGACTTCACATTTAATTTATTCATTTCATTTGTTGAACTTTATGAGATATATACAATTTTACATTTCTCTTAAATGTTTCCAATGGGAATCTTTCTTACCAACAAAGAGTGTGGAAACCCTACCTACTTGCCAGATTTTTATAAGAAAGAAGCACAATATTGAAATGCTACTCGTTGATTGAAATCAGGAGGAGGAAAACATTTTGAAAGCATGATGAGCCTGCAACTCTGTTTTATACAACGGAATGGCGGGCAAATGAATGTGATCACCTTTGTGTGATCTATTGAAGTTTTTAACATTTTTTGTCGTTTTATCACACGACAGAGAATCAAATTGATATCCCAAAGTAAAATGAGATCTTTGTCAATGTTCGTTTGACCGCAAATTACGTCGACGATAGATAGTAAGGAAAATTCGTTACATTTTATAAGTCGCCAAGTGTGAGGGCACATTGCTGATCGCGGAATAATGCTTTTTTTAAGTATGAAAAAGAATGACAAGAGCTATTTTTATGCTGAATTCGTCGTCGCGTCGTCGATATGAGAACTCCGAACGGCTACGTCAAGAGAGGACACTCAAGGTTGTTGTTAAACAGAACAATTCTTTGTTTGTTCCATCCAGCTGACAGAAAAAAGCAGATGTGTGGTGTTATTTTGTTATATTTATACCAAAAGGTGATTGGTTTTTGTTGTAAAGACAACAATGTTTTATCTCAATGTATGTTTTATCTCAGAAGTTTATGTTTATGATTCTCTGAGAAACTGCTTAAGAAGGATTTAAAATAAACAAAAAATTTTTTCCCATAAACATTGCTGTTTTACTTACATTAAAGTCATTCATCTTCATTATGAAAATTAAGAATGAAAGTAAATTTTTAGTATACTTTTATTAACTAATATGTATCATATACAATGTATCCTCCTATATTATAAATTTGATTGACATTGTAAACAATTTACTTCATTCGCATACTAAAAGATGATGACTTAAACAAGTCGAAACATGTTTATGGTAAAATTGGTGGGTTGTTGTTTCAGAATGAACAATCCAAAAAAGCAACAACAATACAAAACTTCATTTTCATTTTTTAAAAATTTTTTTAATTACTATCTATTGCTTTATCTTTTCATGGTTAACATAATAATATTGATTGTTGTTTATAAATCAATTAGATGAGGATGAGGAATGTCAAGCCATTAAAATTTATATTCAATCATCTTTGAATCACAAGAATTTTAAATGTAATTTGAATCACAGCCATCCTAAAGTTCAACAAATTACAAAAGAAGAACAGACAGAGTTTTGACATTAAAGTTTAATGGGAAGATGGTGGTACAGTTACATCAGGTCAAAGGTGGCACTATGTATATTATTGTTTGGGTATGTATTTAACTATACATTTACTCATCTACATCAAGTTGTAAAGCACTCCCCTTACTTTACACCACTCACGCTTCCTTTACAACACTCACCCTTACTTTTACAACACTCACCTTTAGTTTTAGAAGACTCACCCTTACTTTTATATGACTCACCCTTACTTATATGAAACACCTTACTTTTAGATGACTCACCCTTACTTTAGATGACTTGCCCTAACTTTAGATGACTCACCCTTACTTTTGTGATCACCCTTACTTTTAGAAGACATGCCTCACTTTAGATGACTCACCTTACATTTTATATGACTCAATTACTTTTAGATGATACACCCTACTTTTAGATGACTCACCTTACTTTTAGATGACTACCCTTACTTTTAGAAGACTCCACCACTTTAGATGACTCACCTCCTTTTAGATGACTCACACCCTTACTTTTAGATGACTCACCTTTACTTTAGATGACATGCCCTTTTAGATGACTCACCCTTACTTTTAGAAGACACACTGTTATTAATTGACACACCTTTAGTTTTAGAAGACCCACCCTTGCTTTTAAATACTCTCACCCTTACCTTTAGATGACTCACCATTAATTTTAGAAAAACACACCTTTACTTACATCACCTACCCTTACTGTTAGATGACTAAACCTACTTTTAGAAGACACACCCTTACTTTTAGAAGACACACCCCTACTTTTAGATGACTCACCTACTTTTAGATGACACACCCTCTAAGTTTAGATGACTCACCCTTACTTTTAGAAGACTCACCCTTACTTT